TTCAGCAATACACTAGAGGTGTGGAAGATGGGACGGTAGAAATACCTTGGAAAAGAGAGAGTGGTGGTAACACCAACAGTGAGCGTGGATGCACCACAGGCCACACACTTTCCTCCTGACTAGACCTCTGACCAACACCTTTGCCGAGCGACTCGTGACCGTACACGTAGTATTCGTGATGCAGGGGTAACTGCCGACCATCCATGGTATGAATCTGTGATCACAATATCACAGTGAGCATTTTGGTGCCGTGAGTGCATTGGCTATGAATTAAAATGAAATGCTTGAAAGTATTGCCTGTGATTGCCTATACTTGAGTAGATTATGTTAGAATACATATGGGTGTGCAAGGTGAGTCTCTATGTTATGTGTGTGTTGGATAATTTAGAGTACTCACTTTTACATTTATTTTTCAGGTAACTAAGACAATCAGCACCAGGATCAATGAAGGGATGGATGATCTGCTTTAGGACTTAGATTTTATTTTGAAATTATAATGTAATTGAATTAGTCATGTAGCAGTCATTGATATAAACTTATAATTCCTTATTGTTTTGTAATGTTTGATGAATTCGATGATGGGAAACTATATTTAAATAAAAAATTTATTATTTCTATTTTTACGAAATTTATTATTTAGAAATGAAATTAAAGCGTTACAAATATGAAGAAAACCTCATATTCACCGTTGAATTAACATACATTGCTCTTTGTGTGCTTCAACCTACGGACAACTAATTTTTAAATGTAAGGAGGATGTTCTCAATTAGAATTATTTGACTAGAAAAAGCTCATCAATCCATGCATGTCTTAGAACATGACCTTAATGGACAATAGCAATTACTTAGCATGACTTAGGATGTGGGTTTAGCTTATATTTAGTACATGTATAGCATATGTTTAGTTATTTTTCCTTGGTAGTCCACAAATAGAATTTTAGAACCTTGTTTAATGGGCGACTTTTTAGGGGCGATTCTTTTAACTTTTGATTTTATATTAGATTGCAAGTATTACACTAGGAAACTCTTAGGAAAAAGTTGGGGAGAACAACCCAAAAAAACATAAGTTGTGAAACAAAAATTATAAGATTCAAGTTTGAAACTACATTACTCTTTCATACTTTTGTAGCATGTCTTCTAAATTCACACACTATTATCGTTTTCAACAACATTTTAAGAAGTTTTGAAGACATAGTTTTTTATTCATAATTTAAGTTCATGTTTCATGTATTTTATTATTTTTAAGTCTTACCATTTTTTACTTTGTAATTTCAATTATTTTCCTATTTTATCTCTTTGACACTTCTTAATCTCATCAATTATGTTAAATTGACATAAATGTCCTTTTTAAATTTGCATGAGTTTATTAATCCAACTCCATAATTAAATTCGATAAATAGATAAGTTATAATTACAAAAATTTTACCCAAACATTATAAAAATTCAAAAATACTGTATTCGATAAATGGATAAGTAACAATTCAAAAATTTCACCCAAACATCACAATAATTAAAAAATTAACATCATAACGTGACATATTTTACTAATTTAATAAATACTAAAAATAGAATAAACTAGAATAAGCTATTATATTCTATCATCTTATTCTAATAATTAAAAAGCGTTAAAATGTCAATTTTTAAATCTAAGAATTAATTTTATTACCCAAAAAATATTTAAATCCATATATTATCATGCGCAATCAATTGGTTTTTCCCAAATCAGATACATTCTAAAAATACATTGAACTTGTGACCGAATTTTAATTCTAAAATTGGAATTCAAGTTCGATTCTAGTGATAACCGGACCAAGTTTGAATGATCAAAGTGATCAACTACTCGTTTCATACTAGTCTGCATGCAAGTTCAATCTAATGATTAATTGGATTGGTTGTTAGTATGATTCATCAAATTATCGGTTGAAGGCTAATCCATTCAAGTATTGATTCTGCAATGACGTTGTAAATGGAAATTTTGTAGTATTTTTATAGTACATACCCTTTTATTATAATAATAACATCTGATTTCAATAGTTATTCTATAAGATTATTATTGAGTTGTCTGATTTGATGAGAAGAGAAAAAAAATAGTTTCCATGACCATGACTACTACATTCTGATCTGGTAAGTAAGAGAAAGGAAGAAAAGGTAAAATAAATTAATAAATAAGGAGGCAGACTCTACACATATTTTTTTAAAAGATATATATTAAGTTTTAAAAAATAAAAATTAAGTATACGAGTAAATTATATTTTTCTTTTAAAAGATACATATATTACTATTTTTATCTTAAATATTTTAACTTGGTTCCTTAAAAAATTTAAATGCATCACAATATAATTTATTTCATATTTTTTTTTTGTTAAAACACTATTAAATATTTATTTTACATTTACTAATAAATTTTATATATGTTATTTTATTTTTTAAAAGCTTAATGAGCTCAATGTATTTTTAATAGAATAATAAGTACTTGTTATTATTATAAGAGTTATAAAAACTTATTTTAACATTAAATAATAAAAATAAAATTTAAAAAATTCTTATTTTTAATAAAAATATACAAGATGAAAACGACTCGTAACTTTAACACATTTATTAAAAAATTAAAGCATACAAATACAAATTAAATTATAAATAGAAGATAAATTAGTAAATTTACAATTATATTACATGCATATATACATTAAATAAAAATTATTTTAGAATCTTTAAAAAAATATTTTTAACAATGTAAATTTATATGGATTAAATAGTATAATAATAATAATAATAATAATAATAATAATAATAATAATAATGTAATATTTGTATCTCATACAAGAGAGTGTATGTTACTCTTATTTTAAACATTGATTTATTTTCCAAAAATGATGAAGATGGTCTACGTTTAAAATACAATATTAATAATATTTAAAATATTCATTTAGTTTCACGTTGAAAACTTTCGGCTTACTTCAAAAGTTAAGAAATTTTACAATTTAAAATTAATTTTGCGAAATAAATAAATACCCGGAAATGGTTTAAAACCCAAACATGTTTCTCAGCAATATAGTTAGAATTGATTATATATTTTCAGAATGAATTCCCACCACCCTAGATTATAAACCAAACAGACAAGACAATACATGTTTTAGAAAGAACAAAATTTAAGTGCTTTTTCTAACTAAAAATAAAGTTTATTTCAATAACTTATACTGATTTTAATTGTTTATTTTTCTTCTATAAATCACAACTCTAATTTTAATTAAAAATTATTAAAAATATAAAAAAATTGTTTAAATTTTGTCATTTTAAAAAGAAACCCACTTAATGATATGAAATTTTGATACTCGAAACTTCAATGAAATTTGTATGCATGTTGGTGTAATTTTATACGTTCGTTTAAGCGAATAAAATTTTGTTTAAGAAAAATTATAAAATTATATTCACATAACTTGCATGTTCGATTTTGAACATGAGGGGATTCGGATCCGTACATATTTAATTAAATTTGAATTAAAAAGTTAAAGAATAAAAGATAAAAACAGTGTTTAAAAGTAAAAGAATGAAAGATAATAACAGTGTTAAACCATTTTGGTCACTTATTCGTTTGGTACAATTTAATTTTCTATAAAAAATGACCAATCCTTCAACTATGTGATGTACTCAGCTACCTAACCCCCAAATTGCATTTGTTTTGGCGAGTAAGTCCACGATCACGCTTCAACAACCAGTTACACCCAGACTTGTTCTTTGGACGCACGCTCCTATACGTTGGGTCAACAATAATAATATATGCATATTTATTATAACACCAACAACTTTCTCTTATTATATTTTACTTTAAATATTAACCTTACTCAAGACAGTTGCTAAACTAAAAAAGCCTTTTCGTGTAGAAAAAATTTATGAACAACAATAATTGGTAACCATAATTTTATATATTTTTTACATGCACTTGCGTAGTTTAAGAAAGAAAGAAAAATACAGAAAAATATGTTGACATGCATGCTTATTTTATTTTATCATTTAAAAAATGGTGTAGAAAAGCTGGAAGAAAAATACCTCTTTTCTAATATATATCACTATTAAAAAAATATCACCTGTCTTGAATAAGTCAAATTTTTCCTAATAGTTTTAAATCATTATGTTTATTTTCTCATAAACGAAGGTTAAGAAAAATGCTATAACATATTCCCTAATATATTATTTTTAACAACTTATTACTGAACAGAATTTATGTAATGCTCACTCTTTGTGATGTGAGTATTTAGTTTCCTATTTAATAAGTTTTCTTACATGCATTTTATAAATAAATAAATAAGAGTGTATTATACACATATATTAAAATGTAGTTTTTTTCATATATTATATAAATATGTATATTTAAAGTAATATGTAAATTTTAAAAAAATCATTAACCTTATAAATAATTATGACAAAAGTGACTTTATTTGCTCAAAATACCTCGTTTTTAAATTAGAATATTTTTATGAATTAATTAAGTATTTTGGTGTGATACTAATTAATATATGAGTATCATTGAAAAGAAGTAATTGATGTTTTCTTAGTTTTCTAAAATAACATATATTTTGCAACAAACTAAAACTTATATAACATGAGACATGGAGAATGTCATTACCATTTTTTACCAAGTTAATACTACATCAAACCCCTTAAAATTTGAAAAACTTAAATAAAAACAAAACTTAATCTAGAAACAGCTAAAAACTAAAATAATTACAATTTGGTCCTGTAATATTCTATTACTAAAACAATATCACTCGCTTTGTATTAGTCAAATTTTTGTTAAAATTAAAAATGACTGGCCATAGTTTCTAATGCAAATTACACAAGTCACTATGTCAATTGGTTGGAATAATAAATGGAAAGAAAAGAGAGAAAGGTTTCCTCTTCTGTATATATAGCTTCAACGAGCTTTGGAGGTAGACAACAACAACATCAATAAAATCAGCATCATCACACATAAAAAAAAAACAAACACTCTGCTCCAAAGGCATGGTTCCATGGATAACAGCATTTGCTACAATTGCAGGAGCAATTCTGATATACCATATTGTGAAGTTCATCACAGCACGTCCTTCACTGCCACTCCCTCCGGGTCCCAAACCGTGGCCCATAGTTGGTAACTTGCCACACTTAGGCCCGGTGCCACACCACTCCATAGCGGCCTTGGCCCGAACGTATGGGCCTCTAATGTACCTTCGGTTGGGCTTCGTGGACGTGGTGTTGGCGGCGTCGGCGGCGGTGGCGGAACAGTTTTTGAAGGTTAATGATGCTAATTTCAGTAGCCGGCCACCAAATGCAGGAGCAAAATACCTGACGTATAACTATCAAGACCTTGTTTTTGCTCCTTATGGTCAACGCTGGCGCTTGCTACGCAAAATTACATCTCTTCACCTCTTTTCCGCCAAGGCCTTGGATGAATTTAAACACTTGCGTCAGGTTAGTTTATGTAAACCAATGGATCATCTCTATTTTGTGTTATTCTTTTTCTAAACAGATATTAAGAATAAAAAATATATAATAATTAGTTTATTTAATTCGTAAAGAAAGAAGAAAACAATAAATAAATGTATCGCCTATATTTTACGTAAACAAAAAAATATTAAATTAAGTATTTTTATTTAATTGACATAAAAGAATTTCTTCTCCAAAATTTTTACGTTTGCAGGAAAATTAAAATTGATTTTTTAATTTTTCTCTATATTTAGAAAATAAAAATAATTTTATATGTGTGTGTCACAATTCTTAAGACTTCAAATAACATATTTTTTCTTTTAAATACTACGTGTGAATAACTTTTTTTTAGGATAAAGATGTAAAACCTATTACTATGCATGACTGCTGCATAGTAAAAGAGGGTTTATTTACGTTTAATAAAATATTTGTCCTTGAAAATATTACAAATTTAATTTTAATTTTATAAAAATTTCAGTTAATTTTAAAATCCAAAATTTATAAAAATTACATGATTTTAGTCTTTAATAAAAGATTAAAAACAATCTACTTTATTACATATAAAAATAAAATGAAGTTGTGATAGTTTCATACACCGACAATTTACTTAAACCATTTTTTTTATCTTCATTGTACCTTTCCTTTCTAGTTTATGGAATTGCACTGTTTGTGTATCTATGTTTTTTCCTCCTTAGCTTTGGGACTGCGAATATTTGTGCATAAATTTATACTATTATATAGAATGTAGATTATTGATATTGAATTTTCGTAGTATTGCATTGAACATTTTATATAGATTAATTTATTCTATATTTCTATTGAACTCAATATACTTTTCTAAGATAAATTTTTCAGTACTTACGTAAGATCGTACCCTTTTGATAGTTGAAATAGGAGAAGAATAACCATTTTCATGATATTAATTAATAGAAGGACATGTGCTTCAGAAATACTGAAAATTTTTATATACTTTTCGTTCTGTAGTTTGTAAAGTCAACTAGTCCACTATTTCACGATGTTTGTGTATATAAACTTCTTTAAAAATTATTAATGTAAAATTTATTATGTTTTATATCACAAGCGTATCGATAATTCGATATATTAAATTTTCAACGCGGCATCTTAAATATGTGGATTTGAATATCAAAGCACAAATTAATTCAAAGGATTTTGAGAACCTTTATACAAGAAAAATCTTTACACTTCGAGATTGAGCTTTCCATTAGTATATATAATTGTCTCTGCATGCTTTTTATTAAAGGTTGACACTAAATATATATTAAAAATATTTGACGAACGTCTGCTTCAAAAATATATTTTATTTTTCTTTTAGTTAAAAAAATTTCAGTTTATTTTGTTTTTTATTTTCATATTGTTATGTAAAAAGTGTAAAATAATTTATAATTAGAGCTGAAAAATTATTGACAAGCTTGTTTACGATGTACAGTTTGCTACATATATTAAAATTTTAAACGCAGGAGACGAATTAAGTGAAAATAAGATAATATCTTTTATAATTAAAAGCTAAAATGGATTTTCAAATCAAACAAACATTAAAATTTACTTTCTCTAATAGGAATAAAGTACTTAAACATTTTTATATAAAATACATAAATGGAAAATTTCTTTTTACATCATCTGAGCAAAGGTCAGTTCTTACGGTCAAGCACTCTGTTGAATTTTAGAAAGGCTTAAAATGATGTATATGATTTAAATCATTTAATATTTGTTTATGTTTTGTTTTTTCAAGAATGATATTTTATATTTCTCGTATATTCCGTGTCAAAGAAATGTTTTCCTTTCTATTTGGTGGTGTCCTACCGCATTTCCGTTTTACCTGACGTTCTCATCTGAGATCAAGTACAACCTTCCTCACTTATATGCTCTTTCTTTATGTTTCTCTCATTTATGACGTCACTATTCTTCATGTGTATGTGGCCTTCCTTGGTATATAATTAAACTCATTCATGTGGCCCTTTTCCTAAGCTGGGATGTGAATGCTACCAAATAATCTTACCCCACCTTGGTTCGTTTTGACCTCCTCAACACTTACCTAATTACTTCTCTTTCTTTCTAAAGAAAAATATTTTTGATACAAAAAGTATTAGCAATAAAATTTATGATTCTATATTAGTTTGGCCCATTAAGTGTTACTTAATTATTCAATTAGTTTATAAAATATTTTTTTAATGATTTTTCACATACGTAGTGTGTAGAAAATAATCAAGTCGATGTAATTGATTTTTAAATAATTTAATGTAAATCATATGCGCAGTTCTACTCACAACACAAATAGGACAAAAGATGGTTGTATATTTTAACTAGTGCCAATTATATTACGTAGGAATTACGTTATATCCGATTCCAGACGAAATCGGTGTAACCTTCCCTGGGGGTTTTAGCCTTCTTCCTTTGTTTAGTTTCTATTGCCACACTACCAAAAAAAATATAAAAATACATGTAACGTTTGACTTGTTGATTTATAATTGTTGGTGGCAGCACTCACTCACGCCTAAAAAACATGTTCACATACAATTTTAATTTTCAATGGCACTAATTATTTCAACAACACGCAGGAAGAGGTAGCACGATTGACACGGAATTTGGCAAACTCAGACTCAAAAGCTGTGAACTTGGGACAATTACTGAATGTGTGCACCACAAACGCATTGGGCAGGGTAATGATGGGGCGGCGAGTGTTCAAAGATGGGAATGGTGGGTGTGATCCTAGAGCTGATGAATTTAAGGCTATGGTCGTAGAGTTGATGGTTTTGGGAGGAGTTTTCAATGTTAGTGATTTTATTCCCTCATTGGAGTGGCTAGACCTTCAAGGGGTCCAAGCTAAGATGAAAAAAATACACAAAAGGTTTGATGCATTTTTAACCAGCATTATTGAGGAGCACAGTAGTCCTTCCAAGAGTGAGAAGCATAAGGACTTGTTGAGTACCTTGTTGTCCTTCAAAGATGCTCCCGATGATGATGAAAACAAGCTCTCAAATACTGAGATCAAAGCACTACTTCTGGTACCTACCCTTCAATAACTTTTTTTAACGTGTGCACATAATTGGCCACTTTTTAAAATCCATTAAGATTACAAATATGCTATTTGGTAATAATCAATTTTTTAAAGTCAGTGGTAATAATTAATGTGGGTCAAACATTAGGAACAATAATCGAAGGGGGAAACTGCACAAAATGGGTTGTTGCTCTTTTTCTTTAACTTTTCACTTTACTGTTTTTAATCATGACTGATTAGTGGACATTGTGCAGCACAGATTTTTTTCATATCAAATAACATTACAATAAAAAAAATAATGTATTAGGTGTTAAAGTTAGCTCAACCATATCATTAAGTTAAGATTCTCTTAGAATAAACTTCTGAAGTGAATTGAATAAGATAATGCAATTATTATTTACATTAATTTATTTATTTTTAAACAATAACTATTATTATTTAATTTAAAATAACTTTTCTAGTAATGAAAATCAAACGTAACCAACTAAAAACCTCATGTAGTGGTTACTATTTTAAAATTATTTAAACAATTAATTATTGCATTTCTTACACATAGAGCTGATTTGAATATATCTTTTCAAATCGTACCTACTGATACCACCATTTAAAAAGCCTACTAGTGACTAATTTCAAAGTACATTGTTGGTCCAATTTTTTAATTCGATAATTTTATTTGACTTTTTATTTTAAATATGTACAATATGTCAATTTAATCTCTTAGTTCAACACTTACTCACAGGGCAACATTTGATTCTTACCCAACAGCTACATCCAATCTTAAAGTATACTTGTGGAGAGTGTGAATGATGAGTGAATAACTAACAATTGACTATGTACAAATTTTGTAGAACATGTTTACAGCAGGAACAGACACATCATCAAGCACAACAGAATGGGCCATTGCTGAATTGATCCGTAACCCAAAAATGATGGCCAAAGTTCAACAAGAGTTGGACAGTGTTGTGGGGCGAGACAGGAACGTGAAGGAAGAGGACTTGGCTCATCTCCCATACTTACAAGCAGTGGTTAAAGAAACCTTCAGGCTCCACCCATCAACCCCTCTCTCTTTGCCACGTGTTGCAGCTGAGAGTTGTGAGATATTTGGGTTCCACATTCCCAAAGGTGCCACCCTCTTGGTGAATGTGTGGGCCATAGCACGTGACCCAAAAGAATGGGCTAACCCGTTGGAGTTCAGGCCCGAAAGGTTCCTTCCAGGTGGAGAGAAAGCTGATGTTGACGTTAAAGGCAATGATTTTGAGGTGATTCCCTTTGGTGCTGGACGAAGAATATGTCCTGGTATGAGTCTTGGGCTTCGAATGGTTCAACTTCTAACTGCAACTCTGGCTCATTCGTTTGATTGGGAACTAGAAAATGGGCTGAACCCAGAAAAGCTGAACATGGATGAAGCTTATGGGCTGACCCTGCAACGAGCAGTGCCTCTTTCAGTGTACCCAAAGCCCAGGCTCTCACTACATGTGTACTAAATTTCTTTCTCATTTTAAGTTCTAGATTTTGGAGTTTTGGTTTCTTATTGCCGTTGTTCCTTTCCTCCTTGCCCAGAATCTTAGTAATAATAAAAAAGATGCCGTGTTGTAGAACTAGGGTGTGAAGATCCAGAGAGGGAAAAAGTGTCATTTTAGTTGGTTTCCTTGTCTTAGAATATTTCCTGTAATATTAATATATGCTTAATATTGTTGTAAAATTAAACCAAATTCATTAAAATAACAAATATGTGGTTCAATTAGAACATTAACAAATTTTAATATACGTCCACGGGCAATCACTATTAATATTAAGTTCTCTCTTTCTCTGAGTTACTGAATGATTCTTTTACAAAATTGAAGAAAAAACTTTAGAGATATGCAAATTCAGCTCGCACACTCATGTTTTTCACATTTGTGTACACACTTTTGTACTCGATTGAAATATTCTTATACATCTTGCTCACATGTATAACTAACTAGATCGTAACTTTTAGCACAAGATTCTCCACTTATAACAATTTTCTATAGTTTATTTACTAAGCTAATATCAACAAATCTCCACCTTAGTTCAAAAACAAACTTCTAAGCTAAACTGATAGTGATTGTCAATAATCTCATCATAGTCTTAATTTTTGATCAACTAAATCAAGTCTAAACAATGGAAGAACTTACTGTTTGAAGCAACTTTGTGATCATCTAAGGGGGATTATGATCTGTTGAGATCTTCTCCACCTTAGTATACCCCTGAGCCATAGAGCTTCCTTCACAGCTTCAATCATAACTATATATTTAGCCTCAGTAATAGATAAAGCCATGACTCTCTATAAGTTTGCCTTCCAATTGACAGTTGTACCACACACTGTGAAAACATAGTGAACAAGTTTTTGGTATCCAAACATCCAACATAATCTGAGTCTACAAATTCTTCTGTGGGAACAGTTCTAGCTTTATTTCTGGACCATAAACTAGAACTCTGTTAAGTGATCCCTTCAAGTATTTTAAGATCCACTTAATAGTCTATCGATGTTCTTGTCCAAGATTTGACATAAACCTACTAACAATACTCATAACATAAGTTATATATGGGTGAGTGCAAACTAAAGCATACATTACAGAACCAACAACATTTGCATATGGGATCAATTGTTTGAGGACACTGCTTTTGTGTAGATTGTAATTATGAGCTACAGGTATTTAAATAGGTTTCAAGTTTGACATTCCAAACTTCAAAGATTTTCTTGAGGTATGTCTTTGGAAGTCAAGCACGTCATCCAGGAGCTTTTTTAGTCCCATCATGCAATCTGAACCTTATGATTCCGATACTAGTGATTTTACAAGATTTGTTATCACTAAGGAAAACAAAATCCCCTTCAAATTTTGTAAGTTCTTTCAACCATAATCGGTTTAGAGTTATATGGAATGAGCATCTCGAGTCCATAATCCATTCTATAGTATCAACACTTCAACTTCTAGTGACTAATATCCATCTTCAACTAATGTTGCATCTCTAAAGTCTTGAGGCCTTTCAAGATTAGTAACCTGATAAATCTAGATTTTACTAGGTTTTTAAGTAGTTTTCTAGGTTGTTTTGGAGAGAAAAAGGTAATTTGAAAGGTGAAAACTACACAAAAATATATAAATGTTCAATAAAATCAATTTTTGTCTTTAGTAAGCCAAATTGTGTGAATTTAATAAGATTCTGATGTAATTTTGTTGATTGAACTAGTTTTGCAGGAGATTTTAAGCTAAGAGTCTTGAGAATAAGGATTTAAGAAGAATAAAAATAGAAGACAGTGGCAAATTTGGACAAAAATAGTGAAGAATCCAAAGTTGTATACTGGGAGTAATCACTATTGATGCATAAAGTGACAACTTAGAGGTTAATCTAGTAGAGAATAAGGAAAGTATTCACTATTTCTGTATAATGTGATCATTACATAGCTTTGTCTAGAAGTAAGAATGAAAGTGTCCATTATTTCTATATAAAGTGAACATTATAGAGCCTGTATTCAGAAGAAAAAGTTATGTGTGATCACTTTGTGTGCACTGACAAAAAGCTAAGAATTAAGGATTGATCTCTAGTATAATTCACATTGATTCTTGAAGTTTTGATGCATCATTAATTCATATTTTTTCTTTGCACAGGTTCCATCTTCTTTAATTTCTTGAAACCTAAGTTTTGATCTAAAAATGAATTGTTTGATTAATTCAATTCGCATTTTATTCTTAACAAAGGATTCATAATTCAGTTTACTTAATTCTGCATTAGATTCAAGGTTTACTCAGTTCCAAGAATCAAAGATTAGGATTCATGCAAGTTACTTAATTTTGTATGTGATGTTAAGAATCAATTGATGTTTGATCCGTTAATTTGAATATGTGAAAAGATATAGGATCTTTGTTAACTAATGATTGAATAAATTGTGGAAAAGCTAGGGATTGATCTGCTTTGTTGAATGACTTCTCTAAATTTTGAATTCCTATTTTTGTGTTAAAAACTCTAAAAATGATAATCAATTCCCCTTGTTGTTAAATTTGAAATTCTGAATTTGTAATTAAATTTTTTAGGAGTCGACTTTGGGTTAATTTAACCCTTACTACACTTTAAGTTGTATTATTTGATTGAGTACAGTCTCTTTCAATAAAATTAACACTAATCACAGACAGAAATCAAATTTAGATTCAATTTTAAAATTTCACAAATAATCATAAACAAAGTCATAGTCAAAAGAAAATAGAAAACTAGAATGTCCTTAAAGGTTGAGATGAGATGAGTTCATGGTCTTCAAGTATGATCGCTCAAATCTCGTTGTTTGGAGGACAAGTGTACACATCGAGAAGTAATAAAGGATTCTAAAATAAGTTCCCGATATATCGTCCCATAAGGATTGATTTCCAATTACTAAAAATTTCTTAATTCAATTGTTTAAGCCTAAAAGATATAAAATTAAGTAAGAACCAAAATTTAATTATAAAATTAGTTTTAAATAAAAGCAAATAACACAACAGACGTCTTTGTTGAACTTATAGGAGAGGAACTTAAGGCGTATGAGTTTTCTCACTCAATCCTTTATATTATTTTTCTGTTTAAATCTAAATTCGATTTCCTTGTGATTACCAATCATTCATATAATTATTATTAATACCCAATAGTCATGCAATATTAATATTCTTTTCTCTAAATTAACATCCCAATGGTCATGCAAGAGATCAATTTAAGAAAGTATAAAGCACCTATGAACTTGTTAATCTAATAACGATTAGAAGAGAAAGATTAGTTTAGTTTACCTAATCTTTTATCTTGTTTTATCCTAAAAATCTATTAACTAACTGAGGTACGGTTTCCTGATGATATAATTAATTAGAATTAAGAAGAAAGCACAATAGGATAAAATCTAATCTCAGAACGAAAATCAAATTTAGATTCAAACATCAAAACCTCATAAATTTATGAACAGTAGTTTCCATAGCCCTAGTTATGGACTTAGTTACTCATGTTAAAGGAAAGAACTAAAATAATTATAAACAAAGCCATAATCAAAAGAAATAGCAAACTAGAGTGTAAGATGAGTTCCCAATCTTCAAGTACAATAGCTCGAAGCTCCAAGTCCTGCCAAGAATATGCCAAAGATCCTATGCAAGAGAGACGAGATGAGAGGTGTATCAGAAAGCCAAAGACAAGATATAAAAACGGTGCTTTACAGGATGCCTGAGGTCTCTCTTTTATAGAGTTTGAAAATAACTCTTCATAATTGGACTTCTCGCAAATGAGCACGGCCGTGTAAGACCTTAAGCACGACCGTGCATGGGCTTGAAGTACTCCATACTTGTTGAAAGGGTCTGTGCTGACTGTTGCAAAGCTCTAATCTTCCATCATTTTGAGTCCAAAACGCACCTAAAGTTAGGGCTAGGCAAAAAAATCTAGTTTTATAAGTCCAATCCATAGCCATTTCTGTACATTCAATGTACTCTACGGATAGAGGAATACATAGAGTTGAACATAGTAAAATAAGAAATTGTTCATTTGGAAATTTCCCGAAAAGCTAATCATAGGTTCTTCTCTCCATCGGAACAATAGGACTGTTATGCTCATTACTAAACTTGTTGAAGAGATAAAATAGAACAGACTGGTAGCACTTATCCGTGTCACTCACAAGCATTGGGCTACTCCTCCTTGTGCTTGCACGAGAGTTGTCGATGGCTCAACTCAACATTTACTATTTTATCTCTCTTTTGTTTCTATTCGTAGCATCTTATACCTTATATTATTTCTGATTCAGGTTTGAATGTCACTACCAACGCTTGCTGTGAGTTAGGGAAGTAGCAGGAATAGGAGTGAAGGTTAGCCGAGAACGAGTAAAAGAGGGAGCTATGGAGCTAATGAGCTACTTCCTAATCCAGTGAGTGATCCTCGGGTGAGGGGCACAAACGATCTATTCCTCACTGGTCCTTCCGTTAGCCCAAAAAGCGAGGGGAAGGGCTAGAGAGTCAGACAAGAAAGCTAGCATTTACTGGATACTATTCTTAATAAACTTGAAAGAGAGTGAGGGATACTCGAAAGAGGAGCACGAACAAATAAGAAGGGGAGCTAAGTAGCTCGGGGTGAGGGAAAGGGAACGGGAACAAGGCCGACTATTCCTAACGAAGGAAGGAATAGAGTAAGGCCTTTACCACTCCATAGTAGAGCAAGCCTAACCAGAGGAAGAGGGCGATAGCTAGAGCTTAGTTCTATACTTTACTAAGGAACTAAAGCTCTAGCCTTATGATAAGCCCCTATTTCATAGGAGCGAAACGGGTTTACAACCCTTAGAGGTAGTAAACCCTTATACACTTATTGAAACGCATTAAAGAGCTCTGTAAGAGCCATATAACTGGTTTCAATAAGACATCAAGATAGCTCCCCCTGGGAGTGAGGGCGGTGCTCTGCTCCGTCCACCACCCCCAACCGGATCCCTATTTGGGTTAACAAAAGGGGATCTTGCCTTTGCATCTTTTCCCTCTGGGGGAGCTCCATAGCAACAACAGCTCTCCTCGCTCCTTCCCCTCACCTAAGGAGTTTCCTCAAATGTCTTAAATGGTTGTGGAAACTAGGTATTAACTCTTCAGTGGTTGTATGCTGTCCAGTCTCGAAGGGGCAGAATGATCCCATGATAGCTGGACCTGAATGTACAAGGCGAATACCGCAAGAGGCAGCGGCAAGTCACTGATTGGTAACCAGTTTTAAAAATCTAGATTCATATTAAACTGATTTTTTGATTAACTATATTTGTGTAACTGATTTAGTGTCTAAATCTATTTTTTAAAATTAATTTTTTTTATTTATCCAAATTCATATGTATGAAGGTATAATATCTTATATCTTTACTTATTAAATCTCCGTGCTATATTAGTTTATAAAATTTTATCGTAACTACGTTTTACCACTAATATTTTTTATTAATCTTAATTCTTATAATTAAAATTAAACATTTAAAATAATATTTTTAAAATATAATTATTATATTAAAGATATTAAAATATAACAAATATTTTTAAATTAATTACTACTATTATTTTTATATTTATGTTTATTTTTTAATTTTTAAAATATTATAACATAACAATTTTATTATTATTTATATTATTAATTTTTGTTTTTATAGGTTGTAATTTAAACTTTCATCATCAACTTTGTTTATTAAAAATAAGTTAAAAATAATAGTAAATATTTTATAAACTTCTATAAAATATAATATAGTTAATAAATATTGTTAAATCTTTTTGTAATGTTGCATACAACAAATTAGTTTTATCTTAAAAATAAAATTTGAGAGACTCTTTTTGGAGAAGTTCTTTCCAATATCAAGAGTTGCATCTATAAGAAAAGAAATTTATGAGATAAGACAAATTGAGAGAGAAACACTCTATGAATACCGGAAAAAATTTAAAAAAATGTGTGCTAGTTGCCCCCACCACTAAATTAGTGATCAATTGCTCATATGAAGGGCTACATTCTATGGATAAGAGCATGATAGACATCGCAAGTGGAGGAGCATTTGTGGACAAGACTCCGGATGTAGCCCACAATTTGATTGAAAATATCCTAGCAATTTGCAACAAGACAAAATTCTTATGTGACTAGAGGTGTGAGTGAAATCCAGACAGCAGAGCCTAACAAATTGGAGCACAAGATTGATGAGTTGGCCTACATTGTGAATCAATTAGCTTTGATGCAAAAGAATGCTGCTATACCTGTACATCCATCATCACCTATTCCAGCCATGCTATGTGGGATATGCTCAGCCACATATCATTATACTGATAGCTGTCCCACATTGCAAGAAACTGATATTCTAGAAGGTAATCCCTAAGTTTATGCTGCAAATATTGACACTAACAAGTTTCCTTTTCAACAGCCACAACAGCCACCTAATTAGGATTTATCTTCAAACAGATATAACCTTGGCTGGAGAAACTATCCAAATCTGATATGGCAAGACTCTTCGCATCAGAATAACCAGCAACAAAGCAACCATTATCAAACATATCATGTTGGTCCAAGTAAACCCCATCAACCACAACAAGCTCCACAACATCACCAACTATCTTCATCACAACCTAGTGCACCCTAGAAGAATGAGCCATCATTGGAAGAGCTCATAAAATAAAGGGTTATGAACAACATCACTTTCCAGCAAAGAACTGAGGCTAGCATCAAAACTCTTGAAAAACAAATAGGACAGTTAGCCTCCTTGAGATCTAGAAGAGTGATGCAAGAGCCTGAAATGCTCAAAGACAAGGAAGATTCAAGTTGTACTCCAGCTACAGTTGATGAGAATGGAGAGAAAAATAGTTAGGAACAACCAAAACCTACACCTGTCCAACAAAAGGTTGCAGAGAATGTTGAAAGAGCAATTCTTCTATCATTTTCTCAAAGAGTTATCCAGACAAGTAAGAAGATTGAGAAAATCGAGAAAGAGATCTTAGAGACCTTTAGAAAGATAGAGGTGAATTAACTCTATTGGATACAATCAACATATACCTAAATCTGCTAAATTTTTGAAAAAGATTTGTGTATCCACAAAAGGCATCTGAAGAGTAATGAAAGGGTAAATATGGGTAGGAATGTTTCTACACTTTTTGAGAAATAGAAGTCTACAATGCCTGAGAAAAGTAAAGACCCAGGGACATTTACCATTCCATGCATCATTGGTTACAATAGAATTGATAATGCTATGCTAGATCTAGGAGCATCCATCACTGTTATGCCCTTGTCTATTTTTACTTCGTTATCTCTTGGCTCCTTGCAGCCCATAGGTATGGTTATCAAGTTGGCCAATAGAAGCATAACAAATCCAGCTGGAATTGTGGAAGATGTATTAGTGAGAGTAAACAACCTCATTTTTCTAGCTGACTTTTACATCCTAGATATGCAAGAAGGAGAATCAATGAAGAGTACTGCACCAATAATCCTAGAAAGACCGTTCTTAAAGACTGCAAGAATGAAAATTGATGTGTATGTCGGGACACTTACCATGGAATTTGGAGACAAAATAGTGCGCTTTAACATACTGGATGCCATGAAGCACCCACATGAAGAACACTCTATCTTCCACATTGATCTTTTTGATGCCTTGATAGATGACAATTTTTCTGAATTTTTAGAAGAAGATTCTTTTCTTAATTTTTCTAATTGTATAAATACTCCTATTTGTGAATCTAACCCTCATAATTTGAATGTTGCATAGGCTCTAACAAATAAAAATGGCAAATCACTTCCATCTATATAGCAACCTTCCACCTTGGAGCTTAAGCTCTTACTAGAACATTTGAAATATGCTTATCTGGAAGCAGATGAAAATCTTCTTGTGATAATCTCAACCAAGCTAGATGTTGATCAGGAGGAGAGACTACTTGAAGTGATAAAGAAGCACAAGAAGGCCATAGGCTAGACACTTGCTGATATTCCTAGAATTAGCTCTTCTTTGTGCATGCACAAAATACTGTTAGAGGAGGGTGTTAAACCAGTGAAACAGCCTCAAAGGAGAGTGAATCCCATTATATTGGATGTGGTAAAGAAGGAGGTCACCAAGCTACTACAAGCTAGGATCGTCTATCCAATTCAGACAACACTTGGGTCAGCTCGGTCCAAGTGATTCTGAAAAAATTTGGACTCATTGTGGTGAGGTATAAGAAGGACAAACTAATATCCACCAGAGTTAAGAATAGTTGAAGAGTTTGTATAGACTACCAGAGACTAAATTAAGCAACCCAAAAGGACCATTTTCCACAGCCCTTCATTGATTAGATGTTAGAGAGGTTAGCTAGCAAGTCTCATTATTGCTTTCTTGATGATTTTTCTGGTTATTTCCAGATATGCATAGCACCTAAAGACTAGGAAAAAATCACATTCACATGTCCTTTTGGCACCTTCACCTATAGGAGGATGTCTTTTGCCTTATGCAATGCTCTTGGCACATTCCAAAGATGTATGTTGAGCATTTTTTTCTAACTTAGTGGAACGAAGTTTTTTTTATGGATGATTCACTGTATATGGCCCATCTTTTTTTGCATGCTTAGTTAACTTAGAAAAAGTTTTGAAAAAATGTATAGAGACTAACCCTGTATTAAATTTTGAGAAATACCATTTCATGGTAGAGCAAGGTGTAGTTCTATGTCATATTATATCTGAAAAAGGCATTGAGGTAGATCCTACAAAATTAGATATTATTGCACAATTGCCTTACCCCTTTTGTGTCTGAGAGGTTTGTGTTTTTCTTGGTCATGCAAGATCCTACAAGAGATTCATTAAGGACTTCTCCAAGATTGTCATTCCACTTTCCAAACTTTTGCAAAAAGAAGCTGAGTTCAACTTTGATGAGAAGTGTAAAGAGTCATTTAACATTCTTAAGAAGGCCTTGACCACCACACCTATCATCCAACCTCCAGATTGGAGAAGGCTGTTTGAATTGATGTGTGATGCATCAAATTTCACAGTGGGAGTTATCTTAGCACAACAGGTTGGTAAGCTTCCCCATGTTATTTACTATGCTTCCAGAATCCTGGACTTAGCACAGTGTAATTACACCACAACTGAAAAAGAATTGTTGGTCATAGTCTTTGCATTGGATAAGTTTAGGTCATATCTCTTAAGGTCGAAAGTTGTGATTTTTACTGATCATTCTATTTTGAAGTATTTGCTGAAAAAGACAAATTCTAAGCTTAGGCTGATAAGGTGGATGCTCTTACTTCAAGAGTTTGATTTAGAAATCTAGGATAGAAGTGAAACTCAGAATTTGATAGCAAACCATTTGAGCAGAATAGAGGGAGTTCCTGAAATTCCACTCTAAGATGATTTTCCTAATGAGCAACTCTTGGAGTTGTATGTGTCTCACAAGTGCCTTGGTATGCTGACATTGTTAATTTTTTAGTTGCAGGAGCTTCTCTAGCAAATGCACCAAGGACTCAAAGGGGAAAGATTAAGAGTGATGTCAAACATTATGTGTGGGACGACTCTTATTTATGAAAATTTTGCAATGACCTAGTCATCAGAAGATGCATACTAGATGAAGAAATCTCATTCATACTACAGTTCTGTTATGCCTCAGCTATAGGAGGCCATCTTGGACTTTAGAGGACAGCAAGAAAAGTGCTAGATGTAGGACTGTATCAAGGCCTCCTGGCAAACATATTCCACATGTGAAAGATGCCAAAAAGCAGGAGGAGCAATCACTTGGAGACATGAGATGTCTCAACAACCCATACTATATTGTGACATCTTTGATGTCTAGGGTATTGATTTCATGGGACCCTTCCTATCATTTTTTGGTTTTCTATATATACTGCTTGCTATTGATTATGTCTCAAAATGGGTGGAAGTCAAGGCTACCAGGACTAATGATGCCAGGGTTGTTGTAGATTTTGTCGTAGCAACTTGTTTTGCATGTTTGAAATCCCTAGAGCCATTATGAGTGACCAGAGAAGTCACTTTTGCAATAGAACAACGGAAGTCTTGCTAAAAAAATGACGTTTTACACAAAGTTTCCACTGTTCATCACCCATAGATGAATGGGCAAGTCGAGCTCTCTAACAGAGATATAAAGAAGATACTTGAGAAAGTAGTGCAGCCCCACAGAAAAGATTGGAGCTGATGATGCATTGTGGACACATAGGACTGCATTCAAGACACCTTAGGCATGATTCCATATAGGGTTGTCTATGGAAAAGTTTGTCATTTGCCAGTTGAAATAGAACACAAGGCATATTAGGCAGTGAAAACTTGTATCTATACTACGATTTAGCTAGAGAACAAAGGAAGTTGCAACTGCAAGAATTAGAGGAGCTGCATTTAGAGGCTTATGAGAACTCAAGGATTTATAAAGAAAAGATCAGGAGGTACCATGACAAGATGATATCAAGGAAAGAATTTTGCACTGGTCAAAAGGTCCTCTTGTTCAACTCTTGCCTCAAACTCATCGCCGAAAAGCTTAGATCAAGGTGGATAGGTCCATTTACAGTCACAAAGGTATTCTCTCATGGTGCAGTGGAAATAAAAAATGACTCCACTAGCAAGAACTTTATGGTAAATAGACACAGCTTGAAGCACTTCCTGAAAAATTTAGCCCCCTTGGAGGAGGTTGAGGAGATTGACTTGCACACCCTGCCACAAACCTCAACCACAACCATTATCATGAGTAATTCATTTCATACGTCAAGCTAGTGACATTAAAGAAGCGCTGTGTGAGAGGCAACTCACAGATTTCATAAGAATTTACAGTTTTCTTTCTGCATTCAATAATAGTATTGCATTTGAGCTGTGATAATTGATGAACTTGCTGCATTATTTTGCTGCACAAACACTTCACTCTACATTAGGCTTGTTATTTGACATGAATTTCTGCATAACTTCAATCTTTGCAAAGGGAAATTGCAGTACTTGGACCAAATCATTTAATCTTTTATGTTATTTTTCAGTTTAATTCTAAATCTGATTTTCTTGTGATTACTAATCATTCATACAAATACTATCAATATCCAATGGTCATGAAATATTAATAATCTTTTCTCTAAACTAATATCCATAATAGTCATGAAAGATATTAATTCAAGAAAGCATAAAGCACCTACGAACTTATTAATTTAACAACGATTGGAAGAGAAAGACGGGGTTGAACTACCTAATCCTTTGTCTAATTTTATTCTATAGATCCATTAACTAATTGAGATACAGTCACCTGATGATATAATTAATTGGAGTTATGTTATAACATACAATTATGCGTAATAGGATAAACACTAATCACGCATAAAAATCAACTTTAGATTCAAACATTAAAATCTTATAAGTTCATGAACAAGAATTTACATAGCCCTAGCTATGAACTTAGTTACTCATGCTAAAGAAAAGAATTAAAGCAGTCATAAACAAAGTCAGTCAAAAGGAAATAGCAAATTAGAACGTCCCTAAAGGTTTGGGATAAGATGAGTTTCCATTCTTCAAATACAATCATTTGAAACTCTAAGTCCTACTAAGAATGTACCAAAGATCTCGTGCAAGAGAGACGAGATGAAAGGTTTATCAAAGATTGAAAGTTAGATGTAGAACAAGAAGATCCATTGCTGCTCCCAAGGTCTCTTTTAATAGGACTTGAAAACCCTAAGATCTATTCATAATTAGACTTGCTGCAAATGAGCATGGCCATGAAAGTCATCAACACGGCCGTGCATATGGTTGAAGCACTCTCGTACTTGCTTTTTAGGTATGGGTATATTGACCGCTGTGAAGCTCTGATTTCCAACCAATTTTGGTCCAAAAAGCACAAAAATCCAACTGTGGGTTTGTTATACTAAACTGCACAATATGTATATATATATATATATATATATATATATGAATTAGTATAAAATTTAAATAAAATATAAGCCAAACATAAATATATGAAACTATTTAAAATTTAAATAATTTTTTTAATAGATTTTTTGAAGATTGTGGAACAAGTTTTGAAAGAAATATGAACCAAAATTATAGTGACCATGAAATGAAATTTTTGAACCTTGGACCCTTTAGAAACTCGTGGACAGTGTGAAATACATGAAGGAGACTAAGATATTAGAATAAAATTGGAAGATTAAAACTTTAAATAAGAAAATACCATGATATGTTTAATTTTAAAATTTCCAAACACTTGATCACTTGAGTGGTAGGGCCAAAGGAATTTTTTTGACCAAATTAGAACTTGAATAATGATTGGGAAATTGGAGGAAAATGTGACTTGCAACTAAAACTTACCAATTTTTGGAAAAAAGGACCCTTTTATAAATAAACAAAAGTTTCAGGACCAAACTACAATTTTTGAAAAATACAGAGAATTCTTTGAAAAGCTTACATATGTATTTGATTTAAACAAAGCACTGAATTATGAGTAATTTTCCACTATTTTTACTCAAATTGGATTTGAAATGAACTAATTATGATTTTTTGAATATATTGTTGTATGAAAAGTAACTTTTTGGGAACAACATAGATAAACTATTTTTTATTTTGAATTCAATAAGTGTCATTATTTTATTTGTATTTTTTTTTTTATGGAAATAGACACTTAAAGGAAAATATTCTCATTGGTTTCATAATTTTTGGACTTAAAATAAAATAGTTAGGATTTTTCCACTAAATATATATTGGGAAGTGACGCTCTTTGACCCGTAGAAAGAAATTATGCTTGTCTTTGAAATATGTGAGTTTCTTATTTTTGGTTGACTTTTTTGTTGTTGTGAAACTATAAATCTAAAGGAAAAGAATGCCATTGATCTCATGATACAGGTAGAAACTAGAATTTAATCTTCCAAACTACAAATTTCTATTAAAAAAATACTAGAAAACTAACTAAAAATCCAACAAAATATAGAGTTATCACCTTACAAGATCAATATTTGGATAGGATGATTGGGTTCAAATGTGAGTCCCAGGGTTTATACCAGATCCAACAAACCTCTCAAATTGGTTCAACAATGGACACTCCACTAATGATTCATGCTTAACTAGGCTGCTGCTAATGTTGTGTGAATCATATAGATTAGGTAAACATGTCGGTAGTGCTATTCCTAGTCATGTTATTAATTGAGCTTTATCTCTCTTTGTTTTAATTCATTAAGATGTTTGGAATTTTAGCTGTGTAGTTTATAGTTTAGGATCAAAATACTTTGACATTTTTATTGATGATTTTTCTGTACTTGATTTTATTTAATAAAAGATTATTTTAATCTGCCTTTTATCTTTCATTCTTTTTATAATGAAATAAAAACTCAATTTAGCATTTTGATTTGTATTTTATCAAATGATAATTCCAAAAAATATTTATCTACTTCCTTTTATAGTTTTATGCCCTTGCATGAGATTCTTCATCAAATGTCTTGTCCTCCTACTCTGGAAGAAAATAGGATTGTTGAACTTAAAAATAGACATCTTTTTGAAACTTCTTATAAGCTTTATGTTCATGTTCTCCATCATTTTGGAGTGACGTTGTCCTTATTACTTTTTACCTCATTAATAGGATGCTTTCATATGCTTTGAGTGAAAAAATTTTCAACTTGTATCCACATCAACCTCAAAATCTCTTGCCTCGAGTCTTTAATTCTACCTTTTTGTTTACAATGTAAGTCTTTGATTAGGCAAACTATCTGCCTGACAAGTGGTACATGCTTGATTTCTACATATGAAAAAACAAATTGTCAGAAAAAGTTAATTTCACCATGTTGCGGACGATTCTAGCTTAAACAACATTACCTTTTGTAGATGATGCCATACAGAAAAAGTGTTTTATGTTCTATTGAGTTGGTTGGACATTACCTACTTTTTTAAGTTTCACAACTTTTGCATCAGACTACCTTTAAATTTCTCTACCTAATTCCTTATTATGCTTTAATTTTGAATTTAGGGTTCTATTCCATCACAATGTTGGAAGCACTCAAAATTAAGTGGAGTTTGTGGACAATTCGAGTATTGCTTGTTGCAAACTGCAACATAAAGATTTGTTTTATTTGCATATTTCTTCAAATAAAGAAAAAAATTGACACAAGTGTAACGTCTAATAATGAGTTTAGAACAGTTCACGAAGAACTTACAAAAATAGTTTATATGTTTTTATTATAACTAACTTTAATAAACTCATTTCAACTTCATAGAACAAACTATTTTCAGCTTATTCCACTAAGATATATGATCAAATTCACGCCATAAACTTTCATATGGAAAAAGCTTAATAAATAAACACTCAATTATTCAGCTTACTCAAACACACCTTAATATGTTATTTATTTTCTACCTTGCAACCTTTGCAGCGAAGCAATCATTCCACAATTTCATTGTTTTGTTTCTCTCTCTCTATTTAAAGTTATTTTTGTCTCCAGAGCAGTTTATTGTTTGCATGTAGGCCACCCGGAATTGGATCAGGTTTTGGCAATTGGTAATCCAGCATACTTTTGTGGAATTTAGATGTCACTGTGTTCTGATGTTCATATCTTCCATTTCTTTACATAACTTTTGTAGCATATTTTTTCCACGTCAGCAGTTGATGTTACTATTTCTTTCCGATTCCTTAACTATATGTGCATGAACGTCATAGGAAGTGGTTTATGGACTTTCTGCAGGGAGAAGACTATCCCATTAAATAATGCGATTTACACATGAGAGATGCTGGATTTCTTATGCTTAATGAGATTAATTCCTTCACAAAGTTACAGATGTTAAGACATATTTCGGCCTACTTTAAATATTTAGGAATATTTGATTTGATCAAATCCCAGGCAAGGACCAGTCAGTGTAGTCCCTTTATTTATACAAACGGTGACATGACTAAAAACAAAAGATATCCGGAAACCGGTGCATTATGATTGATTATCTACGGTACAATTTTAAATGCAATAGCAAATCCTATGGATAGTGACGTTTACACTGACTAATTGAAGCCAAATACTAGTCCAGTTACAAAAGCATAGATTTTTCGTACAACGTAGGCAACTCTCAACCCCACATCAACAAAGAAAAAATCTCCTTAAACGGTACATCTTATAGAAATGCTATGTCTACGACATATTTGTTCTAGTGTTTTACAAATTAGGGAAACATAAGAACAGGAGCGATTAGATGAGTGATGTAATAGAGAGAAAAATTTACTGTGAGAATAAATATAACCCAACATCTTATACAGTATGTACAATGCTAGCCACCAATGATGGCTCCACTAAGTAGAAGCCCTGCTATTGGCTAACATAGAAGTTCTTCAATGGAGTGTTCTTGTTCAAATCCAACGTAGCAGTCGGAGACCAAAATCAATTTCATGCCCTGAAAGTCAACATCAGCAAAATATTCACACAAAAGGGTGTTTAGTAACAACAGAATTAAACCTAACAATCTGAGTCAATTATAAATTAAATAGTTGTATAATCTATTAAAACAAATGTTTTCTTTTAAGATTATCCATGGTTCATACATGCTCAAAGCTAATTAGTGTCTACATAGGCATTAATGCCATATGCATTAATCTGGGATGCATAACCTATTGTACGTCTCTAAAGTCTAAATTTCCCACCAAAAGAAAATCTCAATTAAAAGAAAGATGAGAGAAATAAGGAAATCCATCAATGCAGAGTCATTTATATCAGAAGGAACTTATCAAATAGGTAATAGAAGGTCAGGAAGAAAGGATAGCAGGCAGGCAGGCAGCAGCAAAGCTAAGCTTGCTATGCTTTCAAGACCATCTTTGTAAATCAGGCTTCTTCTGTTAGTACCAAAAGCTTTTCATGGTTCTGAAGTTTTTAATGTGTGCTAGGTAAAAGGTTGAAAATAGATTGTTAAAATATAGGGAAAGGTACAGATATGTTAATTTTTGGCTGCTGGAGCTAGGTAGAGATGGAAAAGTGACGGTTGAAAACTGTTTTGTTTGAGCTTCTGACAGTATCTTCTACTCATTTCCCAGCCCATTTTGGATGTAGAAGCCCCCAAATATGGAATGTAAATGGTGGACCCTCTATTTCCACCCTGTTCAAAACTGTTAGGACTGCAGTAAAAAATATGGGCTCAAATGGGGCCAAGCGCGCACACTACGGAGAGTTTTCACTAGAAGAAACATTCATGTATAGACAAGGAGAGTGACGTGGAAGAAGAAAGTTGTTAGTCGTGACTCCATTATAGTCGAACTGGCGTGTAAGAGGGGTATCTTTTCAGTATCAAGAAGTTGGTCATGGATGGAGAGCACTAGCTCTCTGTAGAAGCCTAGATCTATGGCAGTAATACTTATTATACTGATTTTCCTTTTCATATCAATACCAGTATCATTTTCTCTGTTTCCCTTGTTTGAATTGCTTAATTTCCCTGTTGGTTTTACTGGTTTGCATCAAAAGCACTATCTGGGACAAATTGTTTCTCGTGCAGACACAGTCCATATTATTTACACCATGAGTGATGTACAAGAGCTGAAGAGGAACCACCACAGTTTGGATGAACAAATAATTTTTACCTGAAGATTAGCTGGAGTTTGAGGCAACTTCATGGAAGTAACCAACTGATCAGAAAATGAAACTCTTTTCAAAGCATATAGCTCAGACGTAGCAGTATTACCAAGAACCAACCACCATTGTTCCTCTTTTATCTGCAGTCAAGAAAATTGTAAATTGTATTTACACCACACAAACTACAAATCATAACAGAAAACACACACACACTCATATTTTAAGACCGACCTTAGGAAATCGAGGTACAAATGCTCTAGAAGAATGTCGTCTAGAATTGGTCTTCTCTAATCTGATATATAATGTGTGGGACCTCTCACCATCAGTGTCCCTCCTCTGAAGCTTTAATTTCATTTTAACGTGAGGGAAATGCTGTAGATCCTGGTCCAAAAAAAGACATAATACATATCTAAACTGAAAGAGGTGATATGCCTACCAGAGAAGTAATGATGTCAAAATATAACATCTTTATGCAAGAATTACTTATAACAGCATATAAATTGACTTTGAAATGTGGACAACCAGACATTCAAAAGGTTCAAAGATAAATAACTGATATTTATAAGACAACCTAAGATGTTATAAATCCTAAGCAGGGTTAAGGCCAAAAGGAAGTTATAAATCCTTTCCTTTCCACAATCTTCTTATAGGTCGCTGCATCTGTGTTGTTTGTCCATTTGTGATCTTCATAGAGATCCAGTTGTTGCCAATACTTCACCAAGGTGTTATATAATACTGAATAACATTCTTATCACCCTGTTTCAAATCTCTTAAGATACCTTTTATTTGGAACAGAGCAGCAGTGTTGTCCACCTTAGAGTATAATTCTTTCACAGCTTTCCAGATTTCGTTGGCTGTCTTGGCCAGCATATAAGTTTCCCCAATTTCTGATATCATGGAATTTACAAGCCAAGACACCACCATATGGTTCTTGGCTTTCCATGTTTTGCATTTTGTGTCTGTATCTGCAGGTTGGGCAGCTTCTCCAGTAAGGTACTCTTCCTTCCCACAACCACAAACAAACATAAGAACACTTTGGGACCACCTCAAATAGTTGGACACGTTGAATTTGTGTCCTGTGATCATAGGAGGATCCCATGGCTGGATAACTATTTGGCAGACTATTAGACGACGTTTCTTGGGATGATGACATTTGAGTTGTTTGGGTGCTGTGTCAATAGTCTTTTGATATGCACTCATGGTGCAAAACTTGAACATGACTTCCGACCAGGCCCCGAGGGAAAGGGCTTTAATACCATGTTGAAAAAATGAAATTTATTTTCTCACAACTTTAAGGTTGCAGAAAGCTTACAATTTAAAGGGTGTTGGCCAAAAAGCTTTGAACAATCAAATCCCATAAAAGAAGGAATTTAAAGGTAATAAAACTAAATCACCTATGTTAGGAAATGAAGTATTTATTTTCCTTTAAATGACAGATAGATCCAATCAACTACACAAGGAAATAAGATATTCAGGAAAAACATAAACATGTGACTAACAATGCAATTAAGCTCAATAAAAATCTAGGACAAGCAAAAACCAAGCAAATTTTACCAGGACTCTTTACCTGATACAATCTTGAAGCCGGGAAATTTGCAGTTACAGTCTGCAGTGCTGCCTTGGGAATGTCAAATAATTCCTGTACACTAGAAATTCCTCTTCTGCCAAGAGAACTTATAAGATCAGCATTCATGCATGGCAACATCCATAAGGATGAGTCCTTGTCCAACCACAAACCCTAAAAATCAGGTGACAAAATTTCAGGAGTGAATTGTGAGGATATTCTGGATAAAGAAAAGAAAGAGTATGATACACCCCCTTTGAAGGAGCGATGTATACACAATTTTATTGAAAGCATAGTTTGTCCTTCCACCATAAATTCTGACATGACTATGTTTTGAAATATATGTAGCAGTACTCTAAAAATAAGAATGATATTTTGGAGATAAAATGATGAGTTAATATACAAGTTACAATCTAAATCACAGAAAAGGTTATGCTGCATCTAGTTCTAATATTTTTCTCCTTAAACAGAAATAACAGTATCTAACTGAAACATGAGTTCCCATTGCCTCTTGACATTTAAAATCAACTACTTTGTCTCTTCCTTCAACTAAGAAAAGTGGCAGGAATAATCAGTTACTTACTTTAAAATCATATGACTGTGGATCATGTGACCCAAAGTACAATATAAATCATGGAGAAGAGCATGAAAGTATTCATTAGTCTCATCCATCAACTAAGCAAAGCAACAAAGAAATTATATTATAAGTAGCTAAGAGGCAATAAAATTGTAAGATATGGAGATCATGGACCTTGAGTTTCTAGGCACAATACAGTGATTTGTGCATTCAAATCTTCAGAGTTTAGACAATCTGACTGAAATGCAAATGTAAATCAAGTAGCATTCATGGTTCAATGTCTATAATTTCAAGAATGAAACTTTTACATTTAATGCATCTTAGACCTCATTCACTTATTTTTTAGAATTAGAAAATCATGTGGAAGAAAGCTTTATTTTTTTCAGTGTAAAATAATCAGAACCAACTTGCAATAAGCTAGTTGTATGCAAAAATATCCAGCTTCCAAGAGAGAAGACAGGTCAGCTGCAGAACAAAACAGAATGGATACCTGCATGACCATTTGCAGAAGATGCATGCAAGTAATTGAGCTTGAAAGCCAACCACTGTTAGCACATATATCAATCATGGCCTGAATAATGCGTATACTCTGATCTAGTACTGATTTCAAGTCGGTGACATAGTCACTAATTGGTAACTCCAATTGAGAAAAATGAGCCTGTGTCCAAAAAACTACTGTGATAAAAAATATATAAAAATAAAGAAATTAAAATGAGAAATTTTACCAACCTAAATTCATGGTTATTGACATGACTGACCTGAAATAGAAGATTTGCTTTGATATGGGGGTCATCTAGACGGTTCTTATCCACTGGATATTTAATTTTCTCAGACAGTGCTTCATTGTATTTTTCCTATGAAAAAAAAAATTATATATAGTCTACTACTTTAATGGATGAATTTGATTTTGGAGCAAGTAAAGAACAATTTTGACATATATGTAGCAATAATCAAATTATTTTATAGACTGGGCATATTTCATGTTTATAAAATTACGACTTAGCTTTGCAGCGGATGGAAGTATTTACCAGAGCAACATGCATTGGGCATTCTGGTGCATGGTAATGGGAATTGAAACGCAAAACATCACTAAAGAATACCATATGTTGGAAATATGTAATTATTGTAATGCTGTAATTCTGTAAATAGGGAAGTTAGCATCTTTATAATTATGGTAATTAGGTAATTGTATACTCTCTATTATTCCTATTATAAATACATAATCCGCTGGGTAGTTTAGGCACACAAATTCATCCTATGTCTCTCATTCTTCTTCTTTCTCAACAACATACATCACTGGTAAGATTCTCTCATATGCTTCAGTCTTTTTTCTTAGTAGATAAATATTTAGGGTAAAGGGATTGTACTCTAGTCCAAGGCAGTAAAAGCCTCAGTGCACAAAAAGCATTTATGGAGAACTTAGATTTACATTTATCTCAAAGAGACAAGTGGAGGCTCAAACCTGCAATCTGTTAGATGTAAGCCTGTTTTGCCCTACTCGATCAACCCCTTGGATATGGTACTTTAGTTTGCTATGCAGATTTACTAAAATAGTTTATATCAGACTTTTTTCTGAAATTCAAATTTTTTAAGCTCAGATTAGTAGATTCATTAAGCTCAGATTATCTTCTCTTCACCAGGACATTCCTTGCTCAACAGTTTCAGAGTTCCCTCTCTGCAACAGCCATGACAACCACTTACCCCTTGGGTTTCTTCTATCCTCATTGACTTTGTTCATTTCAATTCTGCCAATTTGCCACCTTAAACCACAGTGATCTATCAGTAATATGCTATGTACACATTAGATAAACAGACAAGTAGGACAGGCACAAATCTGGTGACTATGGTGTAGGGTTGATTTAGAGATACAAATCTAAGTACTTGAAACTAAATGGTGAATAATCTGTTTGTCTATTCCATGATGATCAGTACAATATTTATGTACAAGAATTGCAAAATAAATCCCTTAAGTTGAGGGATTAGGATGACAAAATTAGTTGAATATCAATTTATCAGAAAACAAATCAACCTAATTATGTACATTATCTCAACATCTACCTTCACACTGGAGCCTATATATCATATGTATTATATGTTATTCTAGGACTCAAAGATTTAGTGAAAATGGAGAAAGTCTTGATGACCTTAGAGAGGATCTTTGCTCTAAGAGAAAGATAATCAACTTCCTCTCATGAAAAATTGAATTGGAAGAGAGGTAACAAAGCTGACTGGTATTTTTGCATATATTGGCATGTCATGTTAAGAATAGAGTGAGTGATAAAAGGACAATTTAAGTCTAGTGAAACAATTAGCAGACACTTTTCAAATGTGCTATTGGAGTTTTTCTGATGTCAGAAAGAATTGTTAAAACAACCTAAGCCCATTTTGGAGAACATCAATCAAAGATGCATACTTCAAGGAATATAAACGTAGTAATCATCTCTATTTTGTTATTAAATTGCGACATAAACTTCACAAAGCTGAATTGTTTAGGAGCTCTTAATGGCTCGTAGATTAAGGTCAATATGCCCCAAGCTGTAAAAAAGTAGATACAGAACAAGGAAAGGTGAGATAGCTAACAATGTGTTAGGTGTCTGTATTCCCTGAGTGGGAGGGTTCAGCTGCCGACTCTAGGTCCTCAAAGACGCTATTTCTCATTCAAAGGGATTAAGGGTTCTTCAAGGTATATAAATACATTTATATAAAAACAATTTATGTTAAATATGTATAATAACATTAATTTTGTTGATGATAGGGTGTTATTATTTAAGTGATGCTACATGAATGTAGAGGGATTTCTTACTACATATAGATGTTACAATTGCTGGAGAATGGCTGGAAAGCCAAGGTAGTCACATTTAAACCTGGGTATTCTAAATAACTAGAGAAAATATTTGCTCAAGAACATTTCAAATTGCACTCTACAAGCTAGTCTCATATTGAATGAAGTGTGAAACTTCTAAAGAGTAAAGAGACAACATCGTGCAATTAGAGAAATGTTAGGTCCTAATGCAAGTGGTTTTGGGTGGGACAGCACAAGGAAGACGATTGTAGTGGATAAGGAAATTTTTAAACAATTGTGCAAGGTAATATATTACATTTCATTTTGCACTTTCACAATAAATAGCATATTATTGCTTATTTTTTATACTAAATGTACAAGTTATATAACTTATATGGTAAACCATTTCCCCACTTTGATAGGTTGGATATTGCATTTGGAAAAGAAAGAGCAATGGGTGCTCATGCATAAAGTCCGGCTGATGCTGCTTTAACAATGATAATGGAATTTTATCAAACACATGGTGGGTCAGAAAATTTGGATGTAAATGAAAACTTCCTCAAGTCACAAGTACCAGAAACACAACCCACTCCTCAAGCACCAAGGTAAAGTGACAATGATGATGTTTTGATAGTTTAGTAATGTCATTTAACAAGTTGGGTGAGTTTTATGGAGGAACTGTTGCAAGTATTCAACAACACACATCTTGCGTTTTGCATGAGAAAGACACAGCTGAAAGGAGGAATCAAGTTAGCTCAATATGAGAAAACAATAAAACGATTGTCTGAAGTGAAGGAGAGATTGTCAAGGCTGCTATATTGATTACCAATAACAACCTTTGTGATTGCTTCTGCAGTATGCATATTCCCAAATCAATGAAAGAATTTGTCAACATTGTTTTAAATAACAATGTTGCATAATGGATTAGTTGAAAAAAGGGAATAGAATATTATTTTAATAATATTTGAATTGCCTCGTTATTAAGAGTCTGTACAGAATACATTTATATAGACTAATAGTCTCCTAATTAAGGTAATAAAAACTGTACAAATCAAATCCGTCCTAATTACAGAACAAATCTCCTAATTATATTTTACAACACTCTCCCTCAAGCTGGTGAATATATATCTATCATTTCCAGCTTGCAAGTAAGATCTTTAAATTGCTCAGTGGGAAGTCCCTTAGTGAACATGTTGGCCAGCTGCAGTCTTGAAGGAATGTACTCGGTGGTTATAAGGCCGTTGTCCAATTTTTCCTTAATGAAATGTCGGTCTATCTCTATGTGCTTTGTCCGATCATGTTGAACAGGATTGTGCGCAATGCTGATGGCTGATTTATTATCACAAACCAGTCTCATGGGAGCTTCATATTTTATTGATGTCAGCAAGTATTATCTTCATCCATAACAGTTCACAGACCCTTTGTGCCATAGCTCTAAATTTTGCCTCTGCACTTGATCTTGCAACCACATTTTGCTTCTTGCTTCCCCATGTCACCAAATTTTCACCCAAGAACATGCAATATCCCGTGGTGGACCTCCTATCAACAACTGATCCTGCATAGTCAGCATCATTATATATTTCCATGGATAAGTTTCCCTACTTTTTAAATAGCAATCCTTTCCCTGGAGAGGCCTTCAAGTACTGAATAATTCTATTTACTGCCTGCAAGTGTTTTTCTCTTGGATCATGCATGAACTGACTAACTACACTAACCGTATAGGCTATGTCTGGCCTGGTGTGGGATAAATAGATGAGCTTTTCCACAAGTCTCTGGTAATGTGTCTTATCCACCTTTGGGCTTTCCTCATCATTTCCAATTCTATGGTTTTGCTCTATGGGTGCTCCAGTCATCTTATTACAGCTCTTTAAGAAGATCAAGAATGTAATTCCTTTGAGAAATAAAGATAACTTGCCTAGAGCATGCAACTTCTATCCCAAGGAAGTACTTTAGCTTACTGAGATCCTTCATCTCAAATTGAGCAGCCAACTTTTCCCTCAAATTTTGTTTTTCCATCTCATTGTCAACTACAATAATCATATCATCTACGTAGACTAAAAGTAGAGTGATTTTGCCGTCTTGTGAGTGTTTGATGAAGAGAGTATGGTCACCTTGAGTGTTTGATGAAGAGAGTATGGTCACCTTGACTTTGTTTATCCTAGAGATACCATGGCTTGAGTGAACCTCCCAAACCAGGCCCGAGGTGACTGTTTAAGGCCATACAAGGCTTTCTTTAATTTGCAAACCTTACTCCCTCCACCAACAACACTATATCAAGGTGGGATCTCCATGTATACTTTTTCATCTAGGCTCCCATGCAGAAAGGCATTTTTAACATCGAACTGATGCATCTCCCAACCAAAGTGTGTTGCCAAGGCGAGGATAATTCTGACTCTGTTCATTTTTGCCACTGGAGCAAAAGTCTCGTCATAATCAATCCCATAAGTTTGGGTGAATCCTTTTGCAACCAGCCTTACTTTATACCTGTCCAATGAGCCATCAAAGTGATATTTAAAAGTGCATATCCACCTACAACCCACTGCTTTCTTATCCTTTGGTCTCTCTACAATCTCCCAAGTCTCATTCCTTTCCAATGCACCCATTTCATCATTCATGGTTTGAACACAATTCTTATCCTTTAAAGCTTCTTGTACTGATGTAGGGATTATGATAGAATCAATAGCTGAAATAAAACTTTGGTGCTGCATAGAGAGATTTTTAGTAGACAAAAATTAGGATATAGGATATTTGGCACAAAATCTTTTTCCTTTTCTTAAGGCAAGTGGTAAATTATCTGGGTTAAGATTACAGGAGATATTTAAGGTGTCCTCAAGACTATGAGTTCTTACCTCCAGTTCGGACAATTGAAGTTGCTGTTCGACCAGGTCGGGTTTTTCTCTTCGCTGATATTGGATCCCAAAACGTCTAACTTTGTTATTTTGCATTGGTCCAGGATCTTTGTCATCCTCCATAAGAGTGGAATTTTGCAACAAAGGAATAGATGACAACTCAAGGAACTCAGCTTCTTCTAAATTACTCTCCCCCTGACGCTGAGTACTAGTGAAGAAAGGTTCTATTTCATGAAAGGTGACATCCTTGGAGACAGAGACACGACGACTTTGAGGTTGATAACATTTGTATCTTTTTTGTTTGAGGCATAACCTATGAATACACATTTGATAGCCCAAGGATCTAACTTTTCCCGATGAGTGCTATGAACATGGACAAAAATTGAGCAACCAAAGAAACGATTTTGGAGGCTGGTCATAATGGGAATAGATGGATAGAATGAGGTCATGACTTGAACAGGGCTAACACCATCAAGAACAAGAGAGGGCAATCTATTAATTAAATATGTGGCAGTGAAAACAGCTTCCCCCCAGTACGACTTAGGGACAGTAATTTGGAAGAGTAATGCTCTAGTAACCTCAAGAAGATGACAATTTTTCCTTTTTGCAACCCCGTTTTATTGGGGTGTGTCCACACAGGTTAACTCATGAATAACTCCTTTTTCTTTAAGGAAATTGGAGATATTTTGTTGTACATTCTCTCTCCCATAATCAGAACGCAATCTCTTAATAGGACTCACAAACTGTGTTTGAATCATTTGGTAAAAATTAACAAACAGTTAGAAAACTTCAGACTTATCTTTCATGAGAAAAATCCAAGTAACCCGTGTACAGTCATCTATAAAAGAAACAAACCACTTGGCACCAGAAATATTCAAAGTAGATGCAAGCCCCCACACATCCAAATGAACAAGATCAAAAGGTTTTGAACTTTTATTATTATTGGGAAGAAAAATTATTCAATGATGTTTAGCAAATTGACAAACATCACAATGAAAGGACTCAACTGACACTTTTGTAAACAAGAAAGGAAATAATGACTTAAGGACACTAAAAGGAGGATGCTCAAGACGATTGTGCTGAAGCCATATCTGGGAGGAAGACCAAGATATGAGTGCCTTTTGTTTGGTGCACTCTTTACTGTCTTCATGCTCCGAGTAATATAACCCACCCTGCTCTTTAGCAATTCCAATCGTCCTCCCCGTTGCAAGATCCTGAAAAACACAATGGAAGTGGAAAAAAGTGACTGCACAGTTTAAGTATTGGGTGATCTTATGAATAGACAAGAGGTTGTTAGATAGTTGTGGAACATTAAGCACATTTTTTAAAAGAACGGAAGGTTGAGGTTGAATGTTGCCACAACCAGTAATAGGGGTATGAGAACCATTAGCAACAGTGATAGGTTGGTTACCTGATGAAATGGTATAGGATGAAAAATACGGAGAATGAGGTGTCATAAGATCAGTAGCACCAGACTCTAAAATCCATATTCTCAGTATCAGAACCCTTAAAGGATAAGAAGCTAGAACTCTTACTAGTCATGGTTAAGGAACAAGAACTAGATGTCTTACTAAGAGAGTCCATAAGAGCCCTTAGGCGTTCCAACTCGGCTTATTTTCTGCTGGTGGGATAGATTGAGCACTTTCATAGTCAGATGTAGCCTGATTAACACGTCGTTGTGCAAGCCCTTTGAACCCTCCAGTTCGCTTAAGGACCTTTTCCTTCCCATGGAGCCTAAAACGTGTATCCTTAGTATGGCCCATCTTCCTACAATAACTACACCACCTATCATCACGGCTCGCTTTTATTGGTGGCCTTCCAAAAGAAGAGCCTTTTATAGGACCCTTGCCACTAGCTAAGGCTGAACCATCAATAGAATTGCCCCCTTCCAACATAATTGACCTCCGAGTTTCTTCACCTTGTACAATGTAGAACACCTCCGAGAGAGAAGGGAGTTCATTATTGCCCAAAATCTGAACCCAAATCGGATCAAACTCCGAGTTTAGTCCATGGAGGAACTTAAAGATTCACACCTTTTCTAGGAATTCTGTTAGTGTTTTTGAATCAGCTGTACACTCCATTTTCAAATTTTGATACTAGTCCAACTCAATCCAAAAACCATTCAGTGTTCCGTAGTAATCTGTTACTGAAAGACTCCCCTGTTTGGTATTAAAGATCTTGCTCTCTATTTCATAACACGCTGCAGTATCCTTCTTCATATAATATGTCTTTCTAAGGTTCTCCCAAATTTCCTTCGCATTGGAGAACAACATGCAATTTCGGCTGATCTCCGATGTCAGAATGCCACAACCAGGTCATGATCAGAGAGTCTTCATCATCCCAAGCTTCATATTTTGGGTCAATTTTGGCTGGAGGATCTCCTTCAATGTGACTCAACTTCTTCCGTCCCTTGAGGGTTGTGCGAACCAACTGAGCTCACAGTAAATAATTTCGCCCATCAAGGCGATAAGAGCCTTGCAGAACCTGTAGATTATTGGTACTCAGGACAGAGGCTGTCTTGTCTTCAGACATATTGGGAGAATGATAAAATGTAGAAACAGAAGTCTGGTGAATAGTAACCACGTTTGAACAGTAACCGCGTAAGATAGAATCTCCTAACAGTACTTAAAAGGCCATATTAAGATGAAACGACCCCTGAAACAAAATCAGGGATGGTCGGCGACCAAGTCTGTGGTGGCTTGGTCAATAATGGCGGTCAGGAAGGCAATGCGTGACGTACACGTGCCGGAGACAGAACCGGTGATTGACAGCAAAATTTTGGGGATAGGTCGACCTTGAAGAAACGCTCCTCCTAGTGTGTTTTCCGGTTGGGTTCCCAGTGGTAGGTAGCGGATAGCGGCAGACAGTGCTAAAAGTGAGCAGATTCACAGCAATGAAGGCTGCCTAGAAGATGCGGAAGTAGAGCCCCCTGGATCGGGAGCTCTAATACCAAGTTGAAAAAAGGGAACAAAATATTATTTTAATAATATTTGAATTGCTTCGTTATTAAGAGCCTGTACAAAATACATTTATATAGACTAATAGTCTCCTAATTAAGGAAATAAAAACTGTACAAATCAAATCTGTCCTAATTACAGAACAAATCTCCTAATTATATTTTACAACAGGATTTAAAATGTTTAGTACATTGCAGTTCGGAAGAGACTTTACGAAAGTTTTATATCTTTTACGAAAGTTAAAAGAAAAGTATTTCTACAAAAGAAAGGATTTACATGATTTTTATTAATTTGAAAAAGTCATATGAATGTGTACCAAGAGAAGTGTTGTAAAATACTTTAGAAAGGAGGTTTTGTGTACCATATTTGAGCAATAGAAAATATGTATGAGGGGGTAAGTATATATGAGAGAACTCCTAGAGACATAACTATAGACTTTCTAATAGGGATAAATTTATATTAAAGTTTGGCCTTGTTTTCTTACGTGTTTAACTAAGTCCTGAATGTGTTTATGAGTAACTTACAAAAGATTATTCCTAAGTGCACGTTTTTTGTGAATGACAGTATTAGTTAAGATATCAAAAGAAAGAGATTATGGCAAAACTTGAGTTATAGAGGGAGACTTTACAATAAGGATATTTGTTTAATAAGACAAAGTATATATAGTGCAGCTTTAGCAAAACAACAGGATGGGAATCATGCGTTAGAGGTTAAAATTGGAGTTATTATACAAGTCTCCAAGTTGAAGTACTTTGACATTGATTTTACATATTGATAGGAAAACTTAATGAATATGTTACCTATAAAATACAAGTTGGGTTATTAAAGTAAAAAAAGACGTAAGGAGTAATTTGTAACCGTAAATTATATATTAAACTAAAAAAAGTTTTACCATATTATAATATGACTAGTTATCCTATATGGTCGTAAAATGTTGTGCTCTAAAAGGAAAACACAAGAAGAAACGTAAGAATTGCTTAAATGAGAATGTTCAAGTGCATGAATGGTCATACAACAAAGGACAAGATAATAAATTATCATATTTGCAAGAATATTAGAGTTGTATTTGTAGCAAAAAAGATGACTGAAAATTGTTTAAGATAATTTGGTCATGTGCAGAGAATACCATTGGAGGCACCAATGAGGAGAGTAGATAGCGTGACTTTGAGTTTGGTAGAAAGGAATAAAAAGAAAAACCTTAAAGGAAGTTAATAAAGATATTTATTAATAAATAATATTTCTAAACCTTCAATAATATTTCCAAGAAATGTTATTCTAGGAATGTAATTTGTTACCTTGAAACAAACACCTCCCAAGGGAATGGAATTTTACATATCCATGGTTTAATATCCCTCTTCTCCAGTTAGATAACCATTGTCCATTGAGCTTTTTATATGGCTATCAGCTACAGAGTTTACACTTAAAGGTCTATCGAGAACTTCAGATGAACTAAATCCCGATGATTCAATCTAAATATTGCTTGATCTAAAAGTTAATTGCATTCCAAATATTTTAAAATTTTAGATGACAAGAAAAATACAGCCCATGCATGCTTTTGTAATTGTTATCTTGAAAAGCACTTTTTAAGGGATAAAAGCAGTTACCTCATTATGACGCACAGGAAGTTCATCAAATTCAGAAGCAGCAGATAAAATATGCAAAAAGACCTACACACAAAAAATCTAAGCATGGTGACTTTAAACAATTAAAAGAAATAATAATGTAAACAATGAAGATGTCAAAAATACAGGAAAAGGAAATATTATAGGTCTTACTTCAAGTGATGTATCCGGTCCTATGTTTGAACCAAACATCGATACAGTCATGTAACTGAGGTAATACTGAGAAGCAATTGAACCCAACATCATGGGTTCCACCTTGTCTTCATTCATCTGTATGCATCCACTGTCTTCCAAATCTTCAAATGTGCTCTGTACTAGACTGTCAAAAGAATACTGTCAGCCAAAATACCATTGTTGAAAACAGTGACATCATCCTCTCAACATGGGATTCAGAAGTAATTGGTATTTTGAGTCATTACCTAGACAAATATGAACTTAGAAATTCAGGTTCTGCATTCTCCAGTCCATAATATGCAGGATTGACCATCTGTCAAAAAGTGGCTATTAAGCATGTTTGTAGGACACTCACACAACAATGGGTTAATCTACAAATAAAAATAGAATTCCTGCACACTACTAAAATTCCTTGAGATATGTTTTGTTGGAAATTTAAAACAAAAAAAAAAAAAAAAACAGAAATCTTGGTAAAAATATTTATAGTAGAGGAAAAATTAACCCTTCAAGCAGTTAATTAAAGCCATAAATGGTCACTCATTAGTGAGTTTCCAAACATAGCTATTATAAGCAATTCAGTGCTCATTGGTTCCTTCTTAATTAGGGAACATTTTACTAAGAACCCATTTGGTAAACAGGATAAGATGATAGGATAGGATAAGTTATCCCATCATGTCTTATTTCCAATATTTGTGGATTAACAGGATATGATAAGTTTATCTTGCTGAGTTATCTTATCCTATCATTATAGTTGAAATTTTTATCCTAAGTGACAGACATCCTTACATTCTTACTCATACTTTCTACATTTTTTAATATTTTATAAAAAAAATAAATATTTAAAAATATATAATTTTCTGATTTTAATTAAAAAAATATATGAATATTTCTAAGAAATTATATATTTTTTAAAATTATAATATTTAAGAAAAGTATATTTTCAAAAAATATTTTAATGCTTTTTTATAATTTTGTTTTAATTATAATTTATTTCCTAAAATTAAACTTAACTGTAAAAAAATAGAAAAAAATTATTATAATTTAATATCAAATTTTAATATTATATATATATATATATATATATATATATTCAAAAGTAAAAAGTTTAAATAAAAAAAAACTTAATTATGTTTTTGGTCTTTATAAATATAGCACATTTTGCGATGAGTTTTTATAAAAAATTTTGTTAAGATTTAGTTTCTACCATCAGCTCCTTTACTTTAAGTGCTGAGCTGGCTTTCCGTTAGCCAGCTCAGTGGCACCACATGTCATGCCATGTTTTTATAATTTTTTATTATTTAAAATTAATATTTGTAAATAAGTTTCTGAACATATTTTAAATATATTTGCAGAAAGGTCCTTTCTCTTTTCCCACACCTCTTTCCAGCACCTCTCCCCCATCTCCACTCCTCCCCTTTCTCCTACCCCCACTCCCTTCCCTTTCCCCACACTTCTTTTATTGAAAGTTGCCTCAAAAATCCAGACCAAAAGAGCATCATCCTCTCTAGAACTCTCTTTCAGAATAATTTTCTTTAGCTTCATATGAGACATTTCCTGTATCTTCCATTTCTGGTATGGCTCTACGGCAGATTGCCAATAAGCGAAAAAAATTCTTATTAACATTTCAACCAGGCTGATTAACCCAGTCACAATTCATTATCCTTTTATCCCTAAAGTTAAAACCTTTGATGGGTGCATTTCTATTTGGAGTTTCCTTGGTCCATCAATCAAATGAGAACCATTTCTTCTATTCATGGCCCTCTCGACCTCTGTTACACCACGGCCATATGCTATCCCAGCAATGGAACATTTGATGAACTCCATTCAGTTACAGGTCAGGGTTCCAGTTTTATCAGAAAGTATTATGTGAACTTGGCCAAGTTCCTCATTCAAGTTTATGAGCGCAGGCCGGTTTGTCTGCTTCTTCATAGTACACATTGATATCTTGAATGATGAAGATGATCTGAAGGACTTTACCAATTTCTATTGATACATATAACGAAATAGGAATGAAGAAGCCATATATCATCAAGGCTGTCAAACAATGATATATAGCAGCAGCTGGTGCTCTTTTAGGATCAAAGAAAATTGCAGAATCATCTAGTCTTAGATACCATCTTTTCATCGACCCACTCTCCAAGTCATCTTTGGTTATAATGCCAAAGAAAATAGATCCAACAAATGCCATTAGAAACAAAATACAAAACAAGAAGTAGATAATCTTGTACTCTGTGTTACGAAGTTTGGAGTCTCTTAGAAGAAGTTGCTGAGGAGAAAGAGGACACTTGTTCTTCAAACTCCATACTCCCAACAAATGAATATAAATTTGCATTTGGGTCTTCACATTTGATTGTAGCTTTAAAATCACGGAATTGAAAGTCCTCGTGTAAGGAAGAAGTTACCTCCAAACCTTGTTTTAACTTCAAATTTGTCTCTCCATCCAAATTCATTGTTTCAACATAGCAGACTGCATTGTCGTAACTAGATGAAAGAAGTAGGAGGTCTGCAGGGAAGAATTCATCCTTCATTATGTTCACTATATGCCCCACCTTTAGATTCTTCCACTCGGTATATTCAAAATTCCCATGCCTTTATGCACTTTAATTCTTCTATTGTTCACTTCAATATCCTGCAGCAAAATGTCGCACCTCCTCACCCACCCATTCTCATTCTCCCATCTGCACCACCCCCCCTTCCTCACACCCACACCCCCTCCCTCACCCCTTCACATTCTTCCATCCGCACCATCCCTCACTTAATGCCCAAAGAACTCTTAATAAATATTATTATGGTCACACCAAGGAAGGGGTGGCCAATAGAGAAGGGTGGGTTGGGTAACAGGAAAGGGGTAGGAGAAGAATATGGAAAAATATGTTCAGGAATTTATTTGTAAATATTAATTTTGAAATAATAAAAAATTATAAAATTAAATATATGACATGCCACATGATGCCACGTGAGAGTGATGAACTGACTTTCAACTCAGCACTTCACGGAAAAGAGTTAGCGGTAGAGACTACATCCTAACTTCTTAACTTTTTATAGACTAAATCCTAACAATAAATTTTATAAGAACTTATTGCAAAATGTGCTATATTTATAAGGACCAAAAACATAACTAAACTAATAAAAAAATATTTTTAAAAATTATACTAATTTTGATAAATAAAATAAATTTTCATTTAAATATAATTTATATTTTGTTCTATTATTGTTTATTTATCTCAAATATTAAAAATAATGACATAGAGTTATCTATTTTACTATCTTGATGTACATCAAACATAGGGTAGGATAAGAGCTTTTCATTCTCTTATCATATCTTATCTTTATCCATTTCCTTATCCTATCATATTCACCAAATGGGCCCTAAGAGTTTTTAATTGCAGAATTACATGTTTAATCATTAACCTCTCACAACTCTTTTTTGTTGTGCTGGTATTTTAAGGATAAATGAGCAAATGTAGAATACTATTATTTTTCTCAACTTTCTCTCCAGTTTTGGAAAGATTGATTTTAGGTTGCACATTCTTCTTATTTTCATTCCTATATATTACCAAACAGGATAAAGTAACTGATTTCAATTTTCAATCTTCACAGTTGTCATGAATCAACTACCCCAAAAAGTTAAGCTATTATCTAAAGGCAAATGAATGCTTTTATACTTTAAAAACATCCCCAAGATCCCCTCATGCAAAAGTCCTACCCACCTATCATGTGCTTAATCGTTTAAATATGCTTTTGATACCTGAAAATATCACAGATTTTTCTTAGTCCTTATTAAAAATTTTATTTGTAGTATTTATATTTTCAGACATGCAACCTTCAGATTCTAAATGTTTTAGTCTTGGGTGTGAAGAGAGTGCATTATGAACTCACAAATTTGAAAAATGGAGAAAAAGAGAGAATGATTGCATGTCATGATTGATTGAAAAGCAGAACAAAGGAGAGAGAACTCTCCTTGAAGGGTTTTTCCTTCACAATGGACTTCTTTCACAAAGAGCAAAAGCTCAATAAACAAATGATAACAAATCTAAATGCCCTTTCCTTTACATCTTCATCCTATTTATTTACCTCAAAAACCCCTTCTAACTAACAAATCTCTTCCACTGACTAACTACAATAACTACCCTAACTAACATTCCATTCTCTCTTCCCTAACTCCTAACAAAACACTTACTACCTTTTCCCTATTTTCTATTTTACTACCACCAGTGAAGCAGCAAACCATACTTACCAGTCTGCGAAATAAGTAAGTCCATGTAAGATAATGCACCGCATCTTGTTTATGGGCAATTGTTCCAGAAATAATCTCAGCATTAATGTGATCATGCAACTGCACCTTCAAACTACTCTCAACAGGAAAGGGTTCATACAAGAACTGCAACACAAAAGAGAAAACAGTATTCTCAGCACAGTAGGGTAATCACCAAAGACAAATATAATCATCAATCTCAATGTTGACCTTTTTATAGAAGCTCTTCTTGGGTTCGTGAACAAGAATCACAGCTTTCCCATGTTGATCAAATTGAGGCCGGCCAGCACGACCCATCATTTGCAAAATATCAGTGATTGGAAAATCAACGTACCTTTTCGATTTTCCATCATAGTATTCTGTCCCCTGCAAAAGATATAAAGTATTGTTAAAATGCATTTTTTTCTGGTTGGGGATATTAGCATAAAAGGAGTTGGGCCCTTCATGGCCACATGCCGTGGGTGAGCAAGACATTCCAATCTGGGATTCCAACTCCCTTTAGGCCAAGAGAAAAAGGGTAGTGTCCACCCACCCTCCACAAGGTTTACTGAAAGAATAAAAAAGTTTATTTTGAGAGACATCACTTGCTTCCACTAGTCACCCCATGCAGGTAAAATGTAATGAATTTGGCCATTATATTAACAAAGGTATAATAATAGAGACATATCAGAGGTGTAAACATGATAAATGAAAACTAAAAACCAATATATTCCTCGGAGAATACTGCTGAGAAATGGCATTACTTGTATCCTATTCTTAACAATATTGCAGCAATGCTGCCCAGCATTTGCAGATCAGAAATGGAAACTTCTTAATAATATTTTACTAAAATATAAATTGCATTAACCTTTCATTTGGAAGTGCCTTTGGAATTTTTAGTTCAATCTAGGATGAACAAGCACTCGAGGAAGCTTTTTAGTAAAGAAAACCTTGAGTAAGATTCAATAATACCTTTGTTGCAAAGAAAGGTGGCAGCAACTAGAACATCTAATGAATGATAAGTAGTCAACAATCCAATAAAATAAAACCCAAAATAGACTGACACATGAAAAGACAATTTCAACATTACCCAATAAATAAAATTTCTGCATATTTCTGTTGGACCAGCTGGAGAAAGAAATGATTGCCAACAAATTGTATAAACGGAAATATCTACTACAACTACATCACCTTGATAATCACTAGATGAGCTGGAAGATTCACACCCCAAGCCAATGTGCTGGTACAAACCAATATCTGCATTAACATTATACAACAAATTGTTAGGAGCAAGCCAAAATAATTGTAATTTTTTATTTTGTTTTTAAGACAGAAAAGTGCCAATTTCAATTTTTTAGGAAATAAATGTATGCCTGAATCTTGTTGTTTGCAAAAAGTTCCTCGACCAGAGATCTGTCTTTGTCATTCAAGCCTGCATGGTGTAATCCAATGCCAAATTGTAAAGTATGCCGCAAGTTTTGGTCAGAGACTTGAGACAGAACCATCTGCAGTTCTTCTTCTGGCAAATCAAGGAACTGCCTTGGATGTTCATCTGATGCGGCAAACTTCATTCACAGAGAAGAAAAATTAATAATGGTAAACCACAATGGAATACATTCTATTTTCAACAAGAGATTGGATCTGCACCTGAATTAGGTCAAGTGCAGTAAGTCTTGTCTGGCGTCGTGATGAGACAAATATAAGGACTGGTTTTGCAGGTGAATGTGTGCATATTGCAGCATATGCTGGTTTATTCATACTGTTCATCCTCGGGCAGTAATACTTTCCAGGATATCCCTATAAGAACCGTAACATTAACATATTTGAAAAATATATTTTATTTTGAGGGTATGAGACTTAAGGATTGCTAGATACATAGGAGTAAACATGTAAAGCTTAAAATGGAGAATTGAAATATGCGGAAACATCTATACACATCCCTAACTTTTGTTCCTCCTTTATCACCATTCTTACTACTACCAATCACACCGTTATTATGAAATAGCTAATTAATACTAAACACAAGACAAAAAAATGGACATGTGAATTCAAGATCTATGTGAAACACCAAATCCACTTACCTGAATATGAACTTCTAGAGGGACGGGCCTCACACTTGGCTTGAAATTGAAGAGTCCTATCTCCTCAACGCCTAACCAATCAGCTAGATCACTACATATAGAGGGTAAAACAAGGAATTATAAGTTAATTCAACAAACTGCTTTCTTGTACTCTCTCTCTCCAACCTTTAATGCAAAACATACTCAATTACTCTCTAGAAATTGATGAGTGAGCAGTAGGCCCATGAGATGATAGACATAAATTAGTGGAGTGCACAAAAATATGGAAAATAGAATTATTTTAAAAAACTAGACCTTATTGTTGAATTTGGACTTTAAGCATAATTCAACTCCAAAAACTAGCTCGTAAGGTAAGGATAACTTTAACCTTTATAAACTCTTATTTAGCCATATCTATAATGTGGGACTTTAACACACTCCCTCAAGTTCAAGATTGGATATCTAGAGTGTGGAAATTGTAGGACTTTTTTTTTTTTAATACAGCACTAGATAAGCCACCGGACCAAGTAGGTAGCACTCCATGGGACCAGGTAAGTTGCACAGGAAAATCCACAGGACTAAGTTAATTGTACTGGAAAAATTCGTGGGATCAGCCAGATTTTATTTTCACTCAAAGGTGGCCCAATATCAGATTTACAGTAGGTTTTGATACCATGTTGAATTTGAACTTTAAGTCTAACTCAACTCCAAAAGCTAGCTCGTCAGGTGAGGATTGTTTTAGCCTTCATAAGCTTTTATTTAGTCATATCTATAATCAATTTGGGATTTCAACACTTATATTTACCGAAAGGTAGAGAAAAAGTAAACTTACCCAGCATTAGCTAGAGCTGTAGAAAGGCCTATAAACCGTACTGCACGCTCTGTTTGAGATGATATATATCTCATCCTAGAAACAATAACCTAGAAACAGAAATTTAAGTTTACGTCAATGCACGCTTATGAGTAGTTTTATATTGACACAAGTGTACTGTACTCAGAAGGAAGATTAACAAATCAAATAAGTATAACTCAAGATAGATAGGAGCCCTTACAAGAAAGGAAAATAGCACTGGTCAAAAGTAAAATAAAAATAAAAATTATTCAAAAGAGGTAATGCACATTCACCATGATTTCCAAAGCACTGCAGTATGATTTCCAATATAAATTTTCTATCTACTTGTTCCTTAACCAGTTCCCAAACCCTATAAGAAATATATCCAAAACAAAATTGATGGTAATTACCTGTCTAATTTTAGGTGATGAATTCACAGTACCCAATGTGCTATCCAGAAATAAAATAAATGAGGCAAAGCATCAGTATTATGTCACCACAGTTCATAAGCACATACCTCAAGGATAGGCCCACGATCAGCTCCTAATAAGTGAATCTCATCCAATATCACAAGTCCAACCTATTGTTCAGTGCCATCAAGATTCAAATATGAAGTAGATGGCTTCAATATCAAAATAGTTTCAATAAAAAAAATATTACACACCCACAAACACTCAAGACACATGTGAATTCACCTTTGTGACATAGCTACGACTATGCCAATTTCGACTTATACCATCCCATTTTTCAGGGGTAGATATGATGATATTTGCTGACAAGAGAGCCATCAAATCAGGAGTATAGTCTCCAGTCATTTCAACCTGATAAAAAGCATAACATCACTACCACAAATACCACGACAATGTACAGTATTCATATTTTTCCATTAAAACAAAGATTAGTACCATCTTTTTCCCTAGCTGAGAGACAAGTCGCTTTTGCCAATCACTCATTCTTTCTCTAACAATAGCTTTCAAAGGTGCTATATAAATAACCTGCATGTTCATATGACAAAGTAGCTTACATACTTCATAAGATAAGGTGCAATATAAGTAACAGACAATTCATTTCTGAATAGAACAATCAATAATAAAAAACAAAATTATATACAATATATAGATGAAGTTCACCATTTCTCCACATTTTACTATGAATTTTATTCCATCACTTAGTCTCAATACAGTGCATCAGTATAATTAAGTAACCAAAGTTCCCAGCCTGCAAAGAGCAAGCAGCATGACTTCCTCCAAATACATTAATCAATCCTTATCCTACCATAACTTCCTCCAAATACAATGCATAATTCTTTTGTTTTCTTGTTCTCAAGGATTCATGCTTCTTCTCAAACTGCATAAATAAATTTGAAGTACAAACCTTCATATCAGGCTGAGTGTTGAAGAGTCGAAGCATAGCAAGTTCCGCAGATATAGTTTTTCCACTTCCAGTTGGAGCTCCTAACAGAACATTATTGTCCGTATGATACAAGACATGAAAAGTCTGCTCAAGTCCAGTAAAGATATCAATGAATAGTCATCATATGTTGTTTACGTATTAAAATTAAACCACAGTGCATAACCTAAAAATTCTGCAGTAAAGCAAATGAAACAAACCTGTGTTTGTATAGGATTAAAATGTGAAAATCTATATAATGCTTCATAGGCACTGTTGCCAAGGGAAGACACAGGAAGAGGTTTTAAATCAAGAAGTTCAGTGTGAGCAGTCCGAGCCTGAAGAAGATATTCTTTAAGAGTGAGACGCAGATTGGCCAGGATCCAGTTGTGAACCTTAGAAATGAAATAAGAAATAAATGGATACATGTAATACCTCTGGCAATGGTAAATTATGAAAAGTAATAGTGTAGAATGCCTCTGCATGAAGCCAGGAATCAGAAATGGCATGAATGTAATATTGTGGTGGATGTGGTTCAAATATAGGCACAGTGAAGGAAAGCTTGTAAGGTTCTCCCCTAGCCATCCGCTTTGTCAGGGTAAAGAGTTCTGAGTGGTAGATGTGATCATTCTCAGAATCCTGCTTGAAATAGTTTATCATGCATCCAATTTGGAGTTAGCAAACATCAAGCCATAACTGCTTAAAAATTTTATTGCATAAAATGAAAATGATGTCTCAAGGTAAAGCATACATGACAAGCCTCCCTGGTTACTTATTTGTTGCATCAATAAACTAGCACACATTTTTCAGACACACTTAAACCTTTCATATGCCAAAATATAAGTTACTTAAGCTAACCATCTGAATAAAATCAAACAGAAAATGGAGATGATTTAGATACATGGGCAACTCCTAAAGTTTTTAAAACAAATGATTCTCACTAGTAAAAAGCCTAAAACATTTGATCAATACATACCAAAATATAAAGATTTATAACAACAACCAACACTTATTCCATTAGGTGGGGTCAACTACATGGATCAATCAATGCCATTGCCATCCAAGTAAATAAAAAATAAATACCTAGGCTGGATATAATGGAAAACACTTGGACATGGCATGAACATCTTGACAACTTAAAAAGTTTCTACCTTAAAGCCAATTTAGGACTAATATTAGGCTATTGATTTCCATGTGGAATAGAGCACATAACCATTTAAGGGAGCTTCCCAAACCAATAAGCAGGGGGATTAGGTCAATTTCTCTATTTATGTCTTCTATTTTCCCATTTTGTTATATTTTCCTATTTTTCAATAGGGAACACCTTTTCCTCATATCCCTTCTAATTTCCTTCTTTTTGTCCTCATTAATTCCTTATTTTATATATTCTTTTTCAAAAAATTGACACAAGAAATCTGTGGAGTCCTGATAAAAAAGTTAAGCCATAATAGTTAGTATAATTTGTGCCCCCTTATGAGCCAAAGATTTTTCTAAAGAACCAATGAGTCTCATTATACGCACTTTTGCTTTATGGAACATGATTTACCGAGAAAGTGAGAAAAACGAAGGAAAGAGAGAAAATATTTGACAGAGATCAGATAATTGGTTGAGAATTTGATATCTGAAAAATGTTATTAGGGGACCTTTGAGTGGTTCAAATATTTATAAACAGATTCTGTTAGTTTAAATCTAACAGAATTGTAAGCGACTTTAAACAGTTTGTAACTGTTAAGATGAGAGAAAAGAAGGCATGAGAGGAATTCCGTATGTTTCAACTACACCACGGGATGTATATTTATATTAATAACAGTAATAGTAATTATAGCTATAAAATTGAAGACAAATATACGGTTACCTGATTACTATAATTACATGGATACTGTTTCCCTAAATAACATATTTACATATATTTAACAGTAACTAACTCAATTCAATTATAGCACATGCAGAAATACTTGCAACAGAACACATGGACTATCGTCTATCATTGATAATCAAGATAAATTTCCCAGCAGATGGTCACGTAATTATAACTGACCAGGATTGGTGTCCCTTCTAGGCCTCCTTGACTCCATACATTTGTTGTCTGACCTGGATAAAAGGATTTGGTCTCTTGATCCTTCTGGGGTGTTTTATTTTTTAAATCTTTTTTCTTTTCAATTCCTCATTCATTCCATGGATAGGAAAACACATACCTTAATAGACCCTCACGGAAATTTAAAGCTCCCTTTTAGGTCAGATCTTATTTAAGCAGTTAATAGAACTAATACAAATTACATTGTTCTGTTGCAGTCTCTTTATGGCATTCCTTATTCAGTTTTCGGTGGATGCTTGTTGTGTCCTAGGTCTCTAGACCAAAACTCTTGATGATTGTTTTTCATGGTTTTGGTCGTAGTAAAGAGGCTGAATTTTTGTATAAATCTACTATGTATGCTACAAGCTGTTCCTTTTGGTTGGAGCACAACTCTGGTATTTTTAAAGGAGGTTTCTTTAGCACATCACTTCAATTGGGATAAGATCAGGTGTTTTGGGTCTATTTGGTTTAAAAGGGTTTCACTATCAGATATGTTGAGGAACAGGAAAGATATGTTTCATATATTATCTCTTTCTTCTTAGTTATTTTCTGTTTTGTTCCTTTGTTTAAAGGGTTTTCCCTTTGAAATACTTTCTCTTCATCTCAAAAAATTTCTCCCTTTATAAAAGGGAAAATGTTAGGAAAGAAAACATTTATTACATAGAGAATACAAAAGTGTAATAGAAGTCTTATTTTTCAATGAGAACTTACAACTTTTAGATATTTACAATTAGCCCTTAAAGCTAAAGTTAACAAAACTGTTATAAACTTAGAGGTCAGGATTTATAACAAAAACCAAGGAATTTATAAAATGACTGATCATCACAAGAAAATTAATTCACCTCTACCAAAATCCACCAACGTTGAGCAGTACCATGAAAACGATCTTTCCAAATGAAAATGGGCATGATAACCAAATCAACCTGAAAATAACGAGTGATTATGTAGAATTGGATATGAAAGCTGTTTGACATGATGAAATTAAGAAAAAATTGAAAACTTAGTAGTCCATGAAAAAATTGTTTGTCATTGAATACCTTTAACACAGTTCTGGTGATTGGACTAACAGTTGCTGATAACTGAAGTGATGGAAAATACCCTAGGTATTGCTTGACCAACTACAAAAGGAAAAGAATAAGAAAATAATAATCAACATTTCTTCAGCATCTGAAAACACCTCCAAAGGAAATTTTTTTACACCATCCTATCAAAAGATACATACCCTTCCTCCAGGCACATAACGAATTAATGCCCCAATGTCTTTTTCCTCCATCTCAAACAGGCGATCTAGGTCAGCCCCCCGTTCTTCAAGCTTCCGCAATATCTACAACCCAAAAAGGACCATCACACACCAGTATGAAGTACAGCTAGGGAATAGAGTGAAAACAATAGTTAGAGCAAACATCTGCAGAAAGGTCCTTGTCAAATTGTCTAAGAGGATGTTGATGTGGCCAAACTTGGCGATCCACAGCTTTGCAATATTCCAACATGAACAAAGACATCTCGCACCAGCCTCTTCTTAAGCAAATCTCAAATAAAGCCCGCATTATACGAGCCAAGCTTGCACATATGTACGCAGCATCAGATACCAACGAAAAAGAATCTATAGAACCACGAGATATGTACAACTGCAAACAACAGGCAGATGTTATTCATCCAATTATTTACATTTCCTTGCAGGAAAACAAGGTCAACAAATCAAGAACAAAACCTGAATCAGAATGGAAATTTTTCCATGTTTGTTGGAAGGACCACCCTTAATTTCTAATGGACATGATGTGCGTGCCAACATCTCTAGCTCATTCTGTTCTTCTTCTCGAACAGCAATATTCTCAAATTCAGAAGAATGCGCAATCATGTTAATCACCTAGAGTGACAGAAGAAGTAAAAAGAACATAAAAAGACAAATTCTCATAAAAAAGAAAGAAGGAATGCAGCAATGCTGCTCAATTTCTCTGCACATTGGAGATGGCATACTCTAACCCTTAAAATAGAATACAATAATTATTCAGTCAAACCTTTAACAGTAATTAAAACCTAGTTTGCAATAGACTACATATAACCACTAACCTCACTGTCATTCATGTGGCGTCTCAACATCTCATTGTATGTTTCAACACTGGAATATTGAATGTAAAAATGGCTTGCAATGCGACCAAGCTCAGTACAGTAAAAATTGCCACTTTTCTCATCAAACCGCATCATTTTTGCTTTATCAAGTGCACGTGCAGCATCAATTACAAGAGATCTTTGCTTAGAACTCAAAGCTGGATCTGCCATCACCTAAAGCATACAAGATCAAGAAAACACCTGTATTAATCTAGACAGAAATTATTTTAAAAGTATCATTAAAAACATTTAAATGCATATAGACAATCACTAAAACATTTTCAAAATGATAAGTGGGAGGAACTCATCATCAAAACTCTGTGAAATGCAGCAAACTATTAACTTACAATTTTCAATTAGCAGTATCTATATTTTTTTTTCCATGCTTTTGAAGAACATGCAAAAAAACAAAATAAAAAACACTACTGACTTTGAACATACATATCCAGAAAAGAAAATTCAAGTTCTTTATTTTTAATTAGTAAGTTTCTTATGCATAGGCTGATGGAGTAGGGGCACGCTAGATCCAATTGAAAGTAGAAAAAAGCATGGAGCACACCTCATAACATATCTGAAATACTGGCATACAAATACATCCCCAAATCTGAATAAGAAATATGCATTTTTACGACACCAATTTCTTATTGCAAACAGTAGTACAGCTTCTTACAAAGAACCTCCCTTCCATATAACTACTATATGTTTGAGGTAAGAATTGTCATCTACATTTTAATGATTACAGGATATAAATAAAATTAAAAAATGAATCCAATTGAGGATGGAAAAATTAATTCTATTTGTTTTTAGTGCTCTCCTCTTCCTGAATGTTAATCTGATACCAGATCAAGGATGGACTGCACAAAGGAATTCTAGAGGAATAACAGAACAGCTACTCTAGCATACGGCTTCCAGGATGTTAAAGAGTCCTGTGGCTCTCCCCCTCTTCTTTCTTTCCACACAAAATTTACCCTCCCAAAATGAACACCCTCCTATTTCTATCTCTTTCAGTTTGTATCTCTGTTAGTTCTAGAAAGTTGTTGAAAACACAATTAGGTTCCAATCCACTGCACTGACCCTTATGCTTTCTAACATACACTTTTTTTATTAGAGGTAAGTTAAGTGCAAACATATGTTTATTAAATTAAACAATCCAAAAACTTACAAATACATTGCAGAATGCTAAGCTGGTTCAACAAAGGAAAAGTTTGTACTTACATACCTCATCCCACCCAATACCATATGCCAAAGGATTCATCCTCATTCTTATGAAAAGATACGTATAGCCAAGCCATGCACAGGCTTCCTTAACATTAGTTACAGTACCCAATGCCACCTCTGCATTTAAATTATCTTTCAAGGAGCTAATAAACTGCAAATGATGAGAGAAGTCCGTGAACACAATGCCAAATATAAGAAATGTTATGCACGATAGTATATGCAAGCAAAGATTCTAAGAACATTCATAACATGACTGCCTCACCATTTTCCTAATCATTTACCTGGCTTTCTATGGGGAGTTGACTTGTCAGCAGTCGCAGATAATATGCTAGTTTGTCATGAGATGTAATTATGATACCTTCACCACTCTTGTCAAACTGAGGTCTCCCAGCTCGCCCAAATATCTATGTCAGAATGCCATACAAATAGTCTCTTAATTAAAGTAGAAAAAGTAAGCAATCCATATTTACATAATAAAGGAAACTCTATGCCTTACCTGCATAACATCAAGCATACCCAGGTCTCGCCACCCACCAGCTTTTGGATCATATAATTGGGTACCCTGAAGAACAACAGCCTTCACATTAATTTACAAATTATAAGACAAAACTAACTCAAGATCCATAAGAACCCAGAAGAAACTATGACTTTGATAGGGAGAAAAAATCCAAATCCAAGCCACTGGGTGTGACATTGTAGAGAATATGATCAGTTGTTACCACAGTTTTATATTAGCACTATAAAACTCCAGTAGAACATTCTGTAATAGCAGTAGGATTTATTCTCAAAATCCATTTCCCAGGGGCTAGGGCAAGGACATTTATAAAGTTTATAAAAAAAAAAAAGAGTGGTGCATGCCTGGACATTTTTAAATTCATTTTCAAAAGCTACTGTATACTGGAAAGCACCAAAAATCTCCCTGAAGGACTAACTTTCTTCAAGACCTAAATATTTAAGGCAATAAGTGCATGCATCAGAATGGTTATGATCTGTATTATACTCCCTCACACAAAAACCCTTTGACCCAAAGGTGGATAAAGCACAAGTCCGTCATACCTCATGCTTTAATAAATTTATGAAGAAATGAGAACAAAAAGAGACAAACTCTTAACACCTGCTCAAAGAGGCTCCGATAATATCAAAAAGACCAACTCTCCTAATACTAAGACCTTAAGCTGTTACATGCAGGCTCAAAGTGGTTTTTATCTCAAACAGACTGAACAGAAAAATGTCACATACTGTTTCAGTAATAATAATAATTATTATTATTATTATTATTATACAAAACGAAAAAATGGGACACAGGTGCTGTTGAGACCAATCCCCCCATCTCTCAAGCTACTTCTTCCCCCTTAATTCTCCATTTTTTTACTCCATTTCCCAACCACTTTGTTGTACCCATTGACACCCAACCAAGTTAACAGCAAGTTCCTATTCTCTTGCATGGTGTTAGAAACATTTCAATCTCTAGAGTTTCTCATGGGTCACTTAAAAATCTAACCTCTCTAATTAGGGGTATGCCTAATCTCTTTATTTCTAATTGATTATGATCAGAGCCAATTGTAGATACCATAGTTACTCCTCCTGAGGCTCTTGGAAAGGGTTGAACTGGTTCTCCACAGTAGTGGATAATCTACTTAGTGGCATTTTTCTATCCAACTATTTTTTTAATGCGAGAAACAAGCCTTTTAAAATATCTAAAATTATATTAAATATATATGAGAACTACTTTTATATCCAAAACAGGTTTTTCTCCAAAGAGAACATAATTCAATTATTATTACTTGAGTTCTTTTATAATTATGCTAATGTAACTTGTTTGGAAATTCTATGCGACTTAGAATTTTCATGGTTTTATTTTGTCTCAGTGTACAAAGTTTCTTATTTATTCATGACAAATTATTTGGACATTAATATAAGTTACATTATTTTTAAATTGACCTCCACGAAGACTTGTGGTAATTTGACTAAGGTTTGCATAACTTGGAAATAAATATTTTTATTAATGAATTTTCCTTAACTGCTATCATCTAATTAAATGATATATTTTTTTAAAAAAAATTGTTATGGGTTTTAAATTTAGAACACTCTGCCATTAGTGAGTGATTTATTGGCCTATGTGCACATAGAGTTTATAGGTACACTACTGGGTGAACGGACCATTTTGCATTGAAGTGAAATTATGAGAGAACAGACCCTAAGTATAATGAATATGGGGTGAGTCATAGCCCTAAGTCCAAGAGTTATTATAGGACGAATGGACCTTGGATTGTAAAAGCCTAATATGCATGAGTGGGTTGAAATTACTCACCAACTTTAACTTATATTATTCATTTGTAGCCCATCATGGCTTTGATTTATGATTGATAGAAAAAGAATTATTTTAGATTACATAGGTAAATTATAAGGAAGAATGAGAAAACAGAACCTTTTCATTTATGACAAACAATGGAACTTATCCTTTCAGATAACTTATTCTTAAGTTATCTGAATTCTGAAAAGCTCAGGCAGGTTATTTGTTTTTCCTTCATATCTGCTTGTATGTTATGTCCTCACTAAGTCTATGTGACATACCCTATTATCTTTCCTCCAAATTTGGAGGCTACCGAGTAGCAATTTCCTAGAATTGTTGTTCTACCAAGATGTTGTTTATGTTTTTGCTATGCTTCCATTGTTAGTGAGGGTTAATGTTAGTAAACTACAATATATTGCAGCTGTAATCATAGAAAATTGAAACCACATTTTGTATCGTTGACATGTATTTTGTTTTAGAAACTTGATACACTCCTTTGGAGTAACTGCTTCTTTCCTTGAGTTCATCATTGATCTATTAAATTAATAGATGAATGATGGATGATGTTCCTGAATCCTGATTTTTGGATATATGTTGTTAAATTGTTGGGTTAGGTGTTGCTTAACTTTTAAGAGAGGTTTTGCCCAATTTTTTGTATCCCCATCGATAAATTGATGCAATGTCTTCTATAGAATCTGGTGTTTACATTTTAGGCTTGCCAGGTTAGGTGTTTGTTATAGTCTGTGTGCCTGTCACATCCTTATGTAGGGTCATGACTATAACCTTACAATATTATGCAGGTAACCACTTAAAGAAACAAATAGATTTACAACACACAAGTCAGACTTGCATCCAACTAACTCATAAGATAACTCAATAAGCAAAGTGTAAAGATTGTAGAACTATTGTTGGAATTGTGGAAGAACACTTTAGAACCAGTTTGGATAAACTTCTCAAGTCTCAACAAGAACTTAAAAAAAAAAAGTAGGCGTAAAATGATAATGAATCAAAATTCTCCCGTAAGATACAGATCACAATCGTCTTATGCACCTTAATTTGTGGAGAAGTTAGATGAGAGAGCTTTTAAAAAAGTTGAGAATTGAGATGCATGAGTTAATAATAACTTATGGGAGAAGTTTGATTCATTTGACATTTTTATTTCTTTTTATTTTCTTCTCCTATAAGTGCTCATTAAGTTTGTCCAAACTAGCTGCAGACTAGACTGGCCAATCAATAAAAACTAAAGGGTAATCTGAGCATCCTTCATGAAAGTGACTTCTCACCTTTTTTTTTTTTAGCATTAGTACAACTCAAATTGATATATTCTTCCTAAAGCCCTAAAAGTTCTATTTCCTATTTGATTTCTTATTTTCTCAAAATAAAATCTTATTGTATCAAAAAAGAAAAAAAGAGGACACCAAAACCCTATTTGTTAGCCATTCAAATTTCTCAATGCTGTGGTGCTGATGGCTTTAACAGAACTCTGGTGTCACACAACACCATGCAGGCATGCACCTGTTTTCTTTTCCAAGAATAGAAAAGACAAATGCAGTTATCTATGCACATATATAATAGGATCTATCAACAGCAGGTGGAAGTGTTAAACCAAAGTTACACTATCAAATAGCTCTTTGAATAATAAACTTTCCGTGAAATCCATGATTGGTTCAAAAGCTGAGACGAGATTCAATAGCTCTTTGGATTAAAATCTGATACAAGAACATATAGGTCATGCTAAATAAATTTTTAACATGATTTGAAACAGATTTAGGTTCTGGCAGTCATGTAGTTTATGAGTAATGTTCTAAAATAAAATGTACAACTTTCGAAGTGGTTGACTGATGCTAGAATATCCCAGATTATCTCCAGTGAACTCCACTACCTAGTGATCTATCTCAGTCGCTTAACCCTTTTCCATCTAATTCCAAAAATTTCAACACACACAAAATTATTCAGAACTAAATCTTCAACTACGAATAACCAATTATTTGAAATTTGAAATACACATCACTCCAATGATTTAACAATCAGATTGATGAAAATGAAAACATATTTATATAAAACAAAGAAGATACAGTATAATCTCTAGTACAAACCTTAATGACAACTGTGTGTGCAGGTAGATTGACACCCCATGCCAGAGTTGCTGTACAGACAAGAACCTAAAGGCATCAAAAGGCAAACTCCCGTGAAACTACAGGCAAATTCTGAAAATCTTATCTGGAAAAACAAGAGTGTGATAAGCTCTACCTTCAGAAGTCCATCAGAGAAAAGCCGCTCAGTAAGTCCTCTATCTGCACGTAACATGCCAGCATGATGTACACCCATGCCAGATTCAAAAAGTTCAACGAGATCTTTGTTTCTTGATTTAATGACTTCTTTCTGAATGTACAAGATAGAAATCTATGAATTAAAAAAGAAACAGGTATCATAAAAAAAATGCAAAAAAAAAAAAAAAAATTACTCCAACCACCTTCATGAAGGTATATTGCGGATGTGTATTATTACAAAACAGTTCCAAGTCCTCATTCCTTCGTGCAAGTTCAACCTGATGGACGCAGATACAAGTGATGATACAAAAAGCAAAGTATAGGACATATAATTGTACAATCTGTTCATTTGCACAGAAGTGAATAGTAACAATAAAAATGATTTGAACAAACATTCTAACACAAGGACACAGAGTACCTGAAATCAAATAACATGACTATATAAAACTTCCAAAATCACATACCAGCTTCTGTGCTGTCTTCACAGTGTCTTTTCGTGAATGGACAAATACCATTGCCTGATGCCCTTGCCTAATAGAATCAACAACCTGGCATGAAAAAAAGAGCCAAAGCTAGCAAGTTAGCCTACACTGCAAGAATTATCATGTTTTGAAGAGAATACAGATGGAACAAGACCTTTGTGTAGCATATATCATTCAACAACTCATTACGAGCTGCAAAGTTTGGCTCACTGATTCCAATATATTGTTGTGCAAGAGGCACTGGACGATAACTAGAATCAAAGAAGAAAAGACCTGTTTCTGGATTTACTCGGAGAAATTGTGCAACCTGGAGACAATGAATAGTCAGAACTTGCAAGTGATTGCCAGCAAATTCTTCAGCATACAGAGCATTAAAGTCAGTAGAGGTAATAAAAAAAACTGTATATTATTTGGACCAAACACCTCTAGGTAATTGGGAAGAGTGGCAGACAGCCCCACAATGCGTATCATTGTCTGAGTAGATTCCACCTGATATTAAAAAGATAGAAGAAATGTGGGGAACGCAATATAATAAATGGCTGTAGTGGCAGTAATGGCAGTGTGCTACCACCAAGTAAAGGGCATATCACAACCAAATAGATTAGCATATCATACAAATCAGACCAAAACCAGAGCATTATCTGTCAGATTGATATCATTAAAATAACAACATTGATTCTGATGATGCATTATAAGTCTTTACTACATGTTAGATTCAATGCAATTGCAGCACCATTAAAAAAATGTTTGTTGAAAATAAACAAATTTCTGTCATTATTTACCGCTTCTGCTTGAATACAAAGCTACATTTTTAGCTTTATACTGCCAGAGAGAGGAACTTATCTAATCAAAATTATAGTTTTAATTTTAAATTAGAGCAAAAAGAAATGCAAGAAACATCATTGGAAGAGAAGTCAGTTTAGAATTCTCATTGTAAGCACAATTTACCTAATATAAAATCCTTAATGCATATTGACCTCATCATACAGAACTCATCAACAATTAAAAACATAGACTAGAAACATGAGAAGCTGTATATTATTTATGACATTGAAATTGTACAAGGCCAATTATAATAAGTAAAGGTTAGGGATTTGATGCTAACCAAGGAATTACTTACAGGCAACAAATTTGGCCCAAATACAAGTAAAAGAAATAAATCCAAACAAATCTCCTAACTAAAGTTGTGTTATAAAAATGGGAGGAGGAAGTAATAAATATACTACAACACATACTTGGTCACAAACTTTACCTGTCGTAGGGTTCTAGCGACTAGAGCCTCTATTACAGGACCTCTATCATCATTAAGTAGATGGACCTCATCAATGATTAAGAGCTTCACCAGCATCGACAATGACATGTCACTACTCTTGCGAGTAATGACATCCCATTTCTCAGGTGTTGTCACTATCATCTGATTCAAACCATGAAAAAAAAGAACTTAGTTTGCATGGTGATGATGAAATCCTAACCCTGCAACTTTCATGATAAGAAACCTGAGTTTCTTCAAGTTCATTTTTAGAGAGCTGCATATCACCAGTAAGCTCTCTGACAATCATATTCAAAGGAGATAAACGTTGGCTGAATGTTGATGTGACCTCTGCAGCCAAAGCCTAGAAAGGACAAGAATCTAAACTTAGAATGACACATAAATGCAAGGAACAATCGGCATAATTGAATAGAGAAACACAAGAATGAGCATGCCTTCATTGGAGCAACATAAACTATCTTAAATTCATCTTTGTGCAAGTAACCATCTCTGAAGTGCTGTCCAATCTGCATACATGTCATTCATAAAGGAAAGCTGTTCTTCATGGAAAGCATTTCTTATTTGAGAAAGATAACGAATACAAAATTCAAGGATAATAAATCCTCTTCTCAGAGCTAAAACATGAAAAAGCACAAACAAATTGAACGATTAAGTAACACCATAAATACAATAAAGCCCTACAATTGTTCTAGATATCCAACACCGAAACTACCTGAAAATATTTTTTCTCCTCCCCATTTATTTTATTAATTTAGCCCAGGAAAAAATAAATTATGGGTCAGTAAAATACTATAACAGATTGTATCCAACAAAAACTATATCACATATGAGCTTTCAGTTTAAATTACATAAGCAGGGTACTTCTTCATTACTTTTTTCCTTCAGCATCATGGCTCTAAAATCATTAGATCAAAATATTCACAATACCAACTACTATGGTTTTGTTTGGTAATACAAAAGCAACTAGGGTTTTGAACCAGTAACTGCTTGCCCACCACATACAATAGTAGAGAATTTGTTGGGCCCAAGCTAAATGGACCTCCACTAAAAACATACCAGAGAAAGAGGGGTAAAATAGACAGAGAGGCTGAGACTGTTAGGGAAGATTCTAACGGAATAACAAACTAAATGACGTGGATGAGTGAGGAGGAGCTGAGGGGAATATAGGGTGAATCATCAGCGGCATGAGGCAGGAAATATTTGGGAGGTCATTGGTATAGCTGAGGCTATAGGAGGATTGCTCTTGCTAATTACTAGCTCGTTAGATTGCTGTATTCTGTTCCATTATTCTGTTTTTCCATCTTTACTGCTTGTAATCTCAGGGAATTTCCCTGTGTTGGTTCTGTTATTTCAATATAATCTCAGTTCCTATCAGAATTACACTAAAAATGAAATCTTCATTTTAAAATCTCCTGCCAGAAATTTGTTACTATACATCCTCATCCATACACACACACACACACACACACCCACACATATGTATATAATAAGAAATTTGACCAAGGAAAAAGTACAAAAAATTGGAGGATAAGAAATCATCAATAAAAACAATACAAAAAAATACAAATAAAGGTTACTCCTAAGAGCTGGTCACTGTACTGTACGGCAGCTACCAATCCTTCTACGTTTCTTAAATATTGATACCCTTAAAAAGACTGTGCTGAACACAAGAAACCATGAAAATGATTATATCCAAAATAACAAATTAAGAGGAGAGGTTACATCTTTGATGATACAAGTATTCCTTTCCAACCACAAAGCCCTACTTGATAGCACATTGCCACATGAATATACATACCTTCTAACAAATACTTGAAAACAAATTTATTTAAACTAATCCAAGTAATTAGGACAAATCCACTGCTCACTAAAATTACCAAAGGTTTATTCCAAAGGAATCACACAGTTGGGCAATGTAGAAATAAATGAGGTATGATTTCAGAAGCAGATCTACACATGACACACATGTCAGGAGAAAGAGCTATGTGAGGCTATCTAACTGGCAACATGTCATCAAATATAAATCTGTCCACACAATCGTCTGGTGTCAACCACAAGAGACTTTGTTTCCTACTCAATTCATTTGATGGCATTTCTGTTATTTTTTGTTTTGTCTTTTTTGCCATACTTTTTGCACAGGACCGTATTCTTGTTAGTATTAATCATATTAAGTACTATAGCTGTTCAAACAAAAGCTTTAACCTTGGAATAAGCTTCAGATTTTCAAATTGGCTTATTTAAGGCAATTCTTTCCCCTATGGGAGCATGAATGATAAACAGAAAATAAGATTTGCATGAAAAATATAAAACACAGGTAGTCAAGTACAATCAAGGTTCCAGATTGTTATGTCAAGTTTAGAGGAAATGGGAGCAAACCGAGGTAAGGCTAAATCTCAACAGCTTTTCTATCATTAAAGTTTCTGAACAGACAGAAATTCCAAGAATGAACAAAATCGTGAAACTAAAATATGCTTTAATGGGAGATATGTGAATAGCAGAGAGCTAAAACAGGCAAGGAAAAGCTTCTGAAGAAAGGACAGCTCCCACTCAAGTATCATCTCAAAAGATAATTTTTGAGGCATCTCACTACTATAAAAACCAGATTGATAAAAGAAATATATCCTTGAGAAATCAATGTACAAGGATTCAGACAAAGTCACATTCACCAGTTGTTGAAAAGAAACTTAATGTAAAAAACAGCTCACTGTGCCAACTTTCTTCCACTTCTTCTTCTTCCTGCTAGGTCATCACATACGTACAAGTCAAGATGCCTTACAGTCTCATGTCTGACTCATTATTAGATCCATCTTGACCCAATTTTAGTACCAAAACTCCTCAAAAAATCTTTAACATGCTTTGGAAGTACTATATTGTAGATCCCAACTAAACCCTGCAAATTGTGCCATCAGTTTCAGTGTTTTGTTCAAAAAGAGATATCATGATGCCTATATCAATCTGATAGAAACTGGTGTTCATTTATAGTTCAGTGGAGGCTCCTTACAACCAAAAAGTATATCTCTGATTCTCTGAAATGCTTTGAGTGTAACAAACAGCTGAAGCCAACCAAAAACAGTCATGAAAAGAAAATAACTGCTACCGAGAAATAAGAAGCCCAGACCACTCAGGCAAGAGTTGGCCTTGCCACCTTCTCTGCAGGGATGGAGCTTTAAAGGGACAGGAGAGAGCCATGGCTCTCGCAAACTTTTTTTTAATACACACACACACACATTCATCAGTTTCTCTGTTATATCCTGAAATATATTTTAAAGTTGGAGATAATTTTATCTGCTTATGTATGTACTATTAACCTTATATAATTTTGTCTCTCAAATTTGTCAGAAAAGTTTCTCTTTTCTTGCTCTTTGAGTAGTGAGACAATTGCAGTATTCGCAATAATTCTTTATATCTTTGTTATTGTCTAAACCAGGAATGTTATGTTCCTCCCTCCCCCCCCCCCCTTAACAGACCTCTTTGCCCTGATGTGATTCCAGAATATTCATTTCCCCCATGCCCATTATCCTGGTTTCATCTCTCATCAGTGGACCCTCCTATGCATGACCCCCTTCAAATATTTCTGTTCTGGCCTACTATTCCCAGCTTGAAACATCCCCCTACTGCCTCCCCCTATTTCTTCTTTCACAAACCCTCACCCATTCTTTCTCCTGATGTCGCAAACCCAAAAACAGAGTATAATATTTATATGGAATGAAAGAGGGAATCTTGATTGAATTGAGAAATATAAGGGAAACAATGAAAAACAGATGGGAATGAGTACCCAATCTGCTCCAGAGCCAAGCTCCTTAGAGTCACCTCAGAGAGGTCTCTACCACAAAGATGCAAAATAGAATGATACCCTCCTCTCTCTCCAAACCGATACTAAATAACCGAAAAGATAACAAAAAGCAAATATCTCACTCCACATCCCAAAATACCCCTTAACTAACAATCATGACTCAATCACCCTTCTAACATCTCTTCCTCACGTACACCTGGCCCCATCTTCCACGGTTGCCTTCATGCACTAAAGGCTCACTTGCTTCACCTTTCATGGTTGTATCACCTAACATAGACTTTAGTAATTGGAAGAGGTCTATCACTATCCTACAGCCTAGAGTCCTGGTCAAATAACACCTAACTTTAACCCCAATAATCTTTTGAATTAGAAAGCTATTAAAAAAATTGAAGAGAATATCAAAAGAAGGCAGAACTTGGCTACTAGCCCTTTAACAGAATTTCTCATTCACCTGTGGTTTGTGATGCATATGCACTAAATAATTTCACATCCAAGGAAAACAAATTAGGTAGGGTTAATCCAGTTTGTAATATACACTACAGCAAAATAATGATTATAGCAGAAAATGAATTGAAAATTAAACTATAACCTTGTTGACAGATTTACAATCAAGGTAGGATGCAAGGAAAACACAGAATAAACAGCTAGTACCTCCACATCTTTCTTTGTCTCATGAGATCAGGGATAGAAATCAGTTCAAAACATTGATTTCAGCTTATAGAAATAATTTATATCTTTCATGAAGAGCGTAAATATAAAGAAAGCAAGTGATTATTCACCTCATGTAGAATTGAAATCATAGCTATGTTAGTTTTGCCAGCTCCTGTAGGAGCACACACCTGCAGGAACATGAAAGGCACTTCTGTCACACCAGAAAAGCAAAAACTTTTTCTGCTTTCTAAATGAAAGGTTTGTAATTAATTATATTTGAAAATAAACCATAGGTCACTTGATCACTCACTAGAATATTCTCATTAGTTCCGTAAACAGTTGGAAATATCCTGCTCTGAATACGATTTAGTGACTTGTAACCACGGAACGCAGCTTGAGCAAAGTCATCTAACTCCCTGATCTCAATCTGAAAGTGCATATTTGTGGTATATATGTTTAAATAATGCTCTATCACAAAACAGTACTAAGAAGACCATTTAGGGTTTGGGGGAAGCAATAGTCATGCAATTTGTTAATATTTAGTTAAAAATAGAAAAAGTGCATAGGTGGGTTTTATTTTTTAAATGTGGCATGGTATCACCTTGAAATAAACAAAGATCAAGGGAGACAATAGCAATCCATGCAACACACTCTTTGCTCTTTCAAATGGTAATAACGTATCAATGATCTCAGCTTACAATAAAAAAAATAATTCTCTTAATCTCAATAAATAGTTGAATGTATCTCATGAGTCACAATAAAAGAGATATACCAGCTTTTCTCCAGGTTTCATTGGTGCAGTTGGCTTTGGGGGAATGATAACTTCTTCATACCCCTTAAAATGCTTCCTTACAGTTCCTTCAGGAAGAGCAGTAACAGCTATTGACTGGGACCTATCCCCAGAACCAATCATCTCATCAAACAATTTTTTCCTCTCACTTGCTTGAAGTAAAGATAAGAAATCCAATGCAGACAAGTCATCATCACCGGCATGTTCTATTCCCCGTCTATTTCGCTTTTCCTCCTTGCGTCGAAGCTTGTCAATTTGCTTTTCTGATTCTGTTTGAACAGTCACCTAAAAAACATAATTCTTTAAGGAAGGCAATATTTTAAATAAAGACAACATATGTGTCTGGATTTTACGGTGAAGAAGCACAAATTAATTATAAAGAGCATGGTTGATAAGAACCAACAATAAGTCATGAGATACATGACTGCCACGAGCAATCTTGTATTATTAGATATGAGTGCAATAATGACTGCCACGGCAACAGTTATTGGTAGGAGTTAGAAGCTGTAATGTATTATTAGAATATATGATGGAAAATAACTTATCCAGCATTAGCTATTTTGTATTAGTTCTGTATTAGAATTAGAAACTGCCTTGATGACAGTTATTCATAGAAAATAATGGATTGCAGTTATGTATCAGGGTATATTTGAAAGTAGGGCGTTTAATTACAAGAAGGTTCTGTTATTTACAGTTTGTGGGCAGAGAATACTCTCTGTAGGAGACTTATATCTCAGGGATAGTAAGAGTATTGCTGTATTATATGTGCTTCCAGAGTTCAGTATTGTATTTTATTGGTTTATCAATTGGGGTTCCATAAATGGTCAATACCTGTGTTCCATAACTTGGCATACGAGACTGAGCATTTGAAGCATTTTTATCAGACTTCAATACCAATAAGCCATGATGAATAGAATCAACAATCTCCTTTCGATGCTGCAAATTATCACAAAAAAGTCAACTATGCCCCTAACAAATTCATAAAAATACTTCAGTATCTTTCATTATCAGACAGTAGACAAGTATGCTTCCAGTCTTGAAGTGAAGTGCATCAACCAATACAAAGAATTATTCAAACAGAGAAAACATGTAGAATAACAAAAGCCCAACCTGACATGGCATACAAAGCAATAATTATTTGGATATGGGTGGAGGGGAGTAAAGTTCACAAAGAGTTACCAATAACCTTTTGAAGAAAAAAGAAAGGAAATTAGCTTATTCTCACCAATAATAGATTTTGCACAGTTTCAAATGCACTATCACCAACAAGATCCAACAGATCTCCAGCTATCTTCAGGTCAGGAGAGAGAAAAAAGAGTAAGTTTCCACATTGCAGCTAACTTTAATTATATATAACTGTTAAAGAAGATTGATACAAGCAATACCTCTTCGCCCAGCTTTTCTGAATTAAGAACCCTACAAATGGCCATTGCCAATTCATCTCGGGATAGCTGTGAATTACAATTCCTAACTATTTTATCACATGCTTCTCTTAACCAAGTCAAGTTGAACTTTTCCCCTTCAACAACAGCCTGATCTGTTGGGACTGTATAATCATACTGTTCTTGGTGAAATGCTAAAGAGGCTGTGCTTTTGAAATCCATCATATCTTCATTATCTAAGGATACATCAACCAAGAAACGAGCTGGTGCTTGGAAAACCAAATCAGCTCCAAATTCTAAATCCTCGTCAGCATCTAGATTTCTTTGCAAAGAAATTGTAGAGTTTTTACTGCTAGGCTGCAAATTTAAAAGTCTCTGCGCTAGAGATGCAACTTGCCTCAACTTGGCATCAGCAATTGCATGACCAGTAAGTTTTTCCAATTCTAACCTGCATACCAATGTCACACACTGAAAGTTTACAAGGTTGAACGATGCTCCAATCACTCCTCATTCAAGACTCGCAATAATCAACCTAATGTTTAAATCATATTATGGCTTTTGCATTACATAACGTGCGCCAGGCAATACAAAATTACAGAACTTCCATAATACTGTATTCAAAGCTCTTAACAATATTTAGTCAGTCTCGTTATAACAATTATTTTATCCAATAAAGTGCATGAGTGAAATCACAATAAATAACTATTCAAGCACTATACATTAGAAACTCCTGTCAAAACTTCAAAAAGCCAGGACTTACTTTCTATCAGAAATAATTCTATCAGTATAATCCTCCTCCTCCTCCGCAACCAGCCTGCCAAAAAGACGGTATACAGCCAGTGCCACCTCATGAAACTCCTCAGAGCGCATTTCTCCATCAACCAAGTCCACCACTGCTCCTATAAATTGCTTGTAGGCCTGCCGCACTTCCGATGAAGCTGCTTCAACAATTCATCAATGCAAACATGTCATCACAAACTACACTCTTTTTGCAATAGATGAAAATATTAGCACGTTGGTCTTACAACCGCAAAATACCTTCCTCCCACCCGTACACGATCTTCCGCGCGAGTTCCGATTCATCAAGCGAGCTTGCTGAACTAAATGCCACAGTTCAAAATCCAAAAATTAGTATCATCAATCGATAAATTGCACAAGCAAACATGAAGTATTCAAATCACAGAACACTGCGAAGTAACTAAGACAAAACCAGTAGCAAATTTCAAAGTCCGTGTCGTCGCCAGAAAAGTCGGGAAATTTATCAAGGGAAATTCTCAACTCTCGTTATATTTTTTTCCGACAATCATTTTCCCGGAGACCAAACAGGACGGAAGGGAAAAAACACCAAAAAGAAAAAGGAAAAACGCAATGGAGAATGCGATGAAGTAGTTTACTTGCGAGGTCTTTGGTTGTGGAGAATGGTTTTGCGATGAAGATAGGCCTGGTCGACATCGAAGGTGTCTCTCAGGGAGTTGGTGAGGCGAGGAATCTGAATCAACATTTGCGATATTCGATAAACTGATGCAAGTAGTCTCTTCAGCAAAATTAGTCCCTTTTAAAAAGAAGAACGAAGTCGACAATGAAGGGTGGGAAACCTGATCATCTAATACACTGCACCGTGACTCTAATTCAGGGTTTTATACTTTTTAGTCTGGATTTTACCAGTTTCTTGCTTTCCAAGTACCGATAGAATGAATGAATGAATGATTTTAACGGAAGTAAAAAAAAAGACACACAGGAGGGGAAGAAAGAAGAATTAAATTAATTAAAAGAAAAATATATTTTAAATATAAAAAATATATTTTAAAAACTCATAAATTTTTTTAGTTATTAAATTTAAATAAAATTATTATAAAATAATATTAAATATAATTACATCAAAAATATTATAAAATATTTTGTTATGTTATTAATTTAACTTTTGTATTTATTTATTTTTAATTAAATTTAATACTGTACGTTAATTATTTATAAATTTAATTAATAATTTAATAAATATTTAACTATAATAGTTAAATGATAAAATAATATTTTATAAAATAAATAATTAAAGTAAAAAATAATTAATTTAAATAAAAATAAAAAGATAACAGTTAAATTTTAAATAGAAGTAATACAATATTTTTATTTATTTTTGTCATAAAATTTTTAAAAATAATAAATATAATTTTACTATAAATACTTAAAAAAATTATATTCTAATAGGTACAAATACAACATAATTATTTCAATCAAATATGAAATATATTATAATAAATATAAATATGAGATATATTATAGGAATGGCCACTAAATATATATTTTTTCAATCAAATTAATGCAAATATTTATATAACTTTATTTAGCCCCTTACATGCAATCTTATTGATTTATGATTTTAGAAAGACATATTAACATTTAGTATAAAATTTGTGTTGTAATAAGTTATTATACATTAATTTTTGTTAATCAGAATATTTATACTTTGATTTTTTTAATTATTTATTGTGAAATTGATAATATTAGGGGGAGAAATTTATCTGGTTGACTTTCTTCTAAAAATGAAAAAAAAAACATAAAAACAAATAAAATTATTAAAAGCTATCAATATAAAAAATATTTACTTATTTAAATTTAATTAATAATTATATGTAAAAAAAATAGATTAAATACAGATATAAATAAAATCAAATTGAGTTGGTCAAAACAAAAAATTTAGATTTGTTTAAATATTATAATTAAGTAATTAAAAAATTATATCATAATTATTATCAAACAACAATTATTTTAGTTTGCTTTTTGTGATTGAAGATCAAAAGGAAATTTAAAGTAGTCCAGAATTTAACAATTTCTTCAATAACAGTGATAATTATTATAGGATATATTTTTTCTCATTCAATAAAACATAAACAATTACCTAAAAAGAAAGAAAACAAAAGCAGTGACAAGACAAAAAAAAAAATAATGATTAGACCAAAATTCAACATTAAAGAGATAAGAAAATTCAAATGACAAGATTAAAGGAGGAAGTTGCCAACAGTAAAAGATTCCACAATTATTCAAACAATCATTCGATGATAATGATAATAATTATTCTAATTTGCTTTTCATGCCTATAAATAGGTGTACCAAGATTGAGGGAGGAATTAGAAAAGAAACCCCTTTTGAAGCATGTCTTCTTCGTAACCAACCCATCCTAACCATAAGAAGCCTAGAAACTTCTATCTTCAATTTAATATTTCCAATCTTTTCAAAACATACAATTTTCTAAAAGCTTGTATCATATTACAAAGTTATTCAAAGTTGCATAATATTTGTAAGAATTTTATTTTCTGTTATATTATTACTATTTCCTTGTGTACATATTTTAGTATTATATTATTTTTATTTTCTGTTATATTGTTTCTATTTTTTTGTGTACATATTTTAGTATTATGTCTATCTATCTTTATGTTTATCTCCTTTCCCCTACACTAATCCATGTCTCTAGTATCAGAGCGTAAACCACAAGAAAGGTTTAGGTTCTTAGATTTTCAGTGTTAGTTCATGATAAGTTTGTATTTTGACATGTTTTTATAGTTTATATATTAATAAATGATCATTATTTTACTTGATTTTGTACTAATTTATATGATTATGGTACAAATTAATATGAGAAGGCCAAAGTTGAGTTTTTGGTGTATTTTAGGCTCAAATTAATTGAAAAATAAGGCTTTGCTAAAATCAATACGCTCAAACCCCAACAGCCAGCACAAGTGCTTTGACCATTTACTGATTAATCTAAAACTTTTGTACTAAAGCTATTCTACTTTGCTTTTACTTGATATTAATTCCAATTTTCATTATTTTTAATAAAACCACACAAATAATAATAACATTACAATTTTTTATTCAAACATCTACACGCATAACTTTTATATTTATTCATGATTGTCTTCTATCTATGCTTTAAATTTATTTAGTAGTTACGTATCAAACTTTTGTATTATTATACTACTTATGTCAAATTATACAAGCATATTTTTTATAAGTTTTTTTTCTTAGACAAACATGGGTACCAGGAGCAGATATGGGTATGCGAAACCCAAAGGATACAGGTATAAGGATTAAAATTACTACCCATGTGAGTATGGACTAGGTACCGGTAATTTTTTAAAAAATGTAGGTATAGGGATAGGTACTATAGTACCCCTACCTATTGTCATCCTTACCTAAAGACCCTAACAAGTACAAATTCAATTACAAGAATTATTTATTTTAAAAAATTATTTGTAATAATAATTTAGATGTAAAATAATTGTTTGAAGTAAGAATATTTTAGTTTAACAAAATATATTCAGTTCATATCCATTTAATTTATTTGATTAGTAAAAAAATAGATTTATGAAATTATTTTTAAAGAAAATTTAAATTTTTAAAACTTATTTAATCACTTGTACAAGTTAGTATGATATAGGATTATACTGATGGATGAAGTTTTTAAAATAAATTTATCTATATTTCGAAACTCAAGGGACATTTAATAATATTATATTACAGAAAAATTATTTTTAAATGAAAAATGATAATTGAAGTGACTACTCTTTATTATCTCAATTGCAAGGATTTAATCTTGATCATTAGATATTACAATTTTTTGAATTTTTATGATGAATCCTAACCATTAATTTATTTTAGGAAGGACGAATCTTGATCGTTGGATTATTTTTCCTATTCTTATAAAAATCAAGTTTATTATTTTTAATATTTTTTAAAAATAAATTATTAAAATAATACTTTTAAAAAATAATTATATTTAGAATATTTATGGCCATGACACCACAAGTTTCATAAAATAATACTTTTAAAAATACACATTTGTTCATTTTCTTTCTATTTGTCATGGACTTTCCCTTCCTTTATAGCCAACAACACTTCATAATATTTTCACTTTTTCTTTCTAAAAAATGTGACTAATGAAGCTCCTCCACCTTTTGGAATTTTATCTTTTCTTCTCCTTTTCACTGCCACTCTCTTTCCCCTCATTGACCACCATTTTTGTCCCCTCCTACCGCTATTTCTCCTCCATAGTAACCCTTTCTCAAGCTCCATTTTAGCTTAGGAGAGTTTGTGAGTAAAAAGTTACAGAAAAATCACTCCATGTTGCACATTTTGGAACATAACTTTAGGGCTTTAAGGAAGAACTTTAAAGTTGTTTTGGAGCTATTCTTTGGAGCCTAAGAAGAGAGTTTATGCATTCACATCCTTCAATTTTCACTCCTTGTTAATTCTTTAGGCTTGAAATAAGGTCCAATGTTAGAAATTCCTTATGGGTGTTTGTAGGAAATGTGAAACTATGATTTTAGGAATGTTTTGAGCTTGTTCTTGTCTCTATAATATTGCAAAATCATGACTAATCGATTTAGTACAGATATGATTTTGTATGCCTTACTTGTTTTCATAAACATGTTAAATGATTTAGTATGTATCACCACCATAGTGTTGTTTTGATATACTTTGATGATGAGCATGAATATTTTGTTGTGTAATGACTAGATCTACAAGTGAGAGTGTAGAGATAACACTTTTTACATGAAAACATGATTACATGGAGGAAAGAAAAGGTTACTACAAAAGACTTAACAAAAGAAATGTTAAAAATACTATGTTATGCAAACTTTTTCTACACATAAACTTAGTAAAATATGAGTGATGAGAGGAGATGTCTTGAAAATAAATTAACACAATATGTTTTCAAAAAATTACATATAAATTTCAAGAATATAAAGTATGTTTTTGGAATCAAAATGCACAAAAACATCTTTGCCTACTTTAAGTTATGATAATGATAACATTATGACTATGTTTTACATAAAAATATGTAAGATTTTTGTTTTATAATAATGAGAATTACAGTACCTATGGAAAGTTATCAAAAAATTTTTACTAACTTAGAATGTTTTAAAGATAATGTTTTGTGACCTTATGAATATTAATTAAGTTTTTCAATAAATATTTCTTACATAGAACTATTATCTTTAAAAAAATACAGAGCAAGTTTAAAAGATGAAATGTATTAAAATTGTAATGGGTTTTGCATGAGGCAAATGATGATGTTTTAACAAGAACGACTTACAGTCCTCACAGAGGACTTGTGTTGAGAGAAATAATAAAAACTAAATCATAAACTCTTAATGAGAGATTTTCAATTTTCATCTTACTATAATAGGATATAATATCATTATGTATATAGTATCGTCCCAATAAAATACTTCTCATGAATCAAGGGTCACACATCATTAAGAAAAAGCAGTTCAATCATGACATATCACACACAATATTACATTATAAATTACAAGATTCAAAATTTTCAAAATTCATGGTTTTCACATTAATTAAGTTAAATGTTAAAATACTTGAGTAGTATAAAACATATATGGAAATAAGCATCACCTACTCATATTAAAATACAATGTTAAGATAGTCTCCTCCGATGAATTACATAATAAATACAAAAGTTAAGATTCGAGGACTTTATTTTTT